GAGCTTCTAGACCGACGCAGTCCACAGCTCGCTTCACACCAGCCGGTTCAAGCTTCTGGATCTGAGCGACGGGGTCGGATTCCGCAAAGTTGATGGGTATGGCTCCGATGGACTTGGCGACATCGAGACGCTCCTGGGCATGATCTACTGTGTAGACGCGAGAGGCACCACGGAGCAGAGCGCTGTATGTTGCCATCAGACCAACAGGACCTGCACCAAAGACGGCGACTGAATCACCTGGCTCGAAGCCAGACCAGGTGATTGCTGTCCATCCAGTAGAAAAGATGTCCCCTGTCATGAGGTAACTCTGCTCCAGCGACTCATTGGTCTGGTTCCGGTGGATGGGGAGGCGGAATAGATTGGCATCAGCAGCCTTGACGATAGCATACTCGGCTAGACAGATATCAGCACTCTGAACATTCAGGACGGCGGTGCTGTCATACCTTGAAGACCTGATACACCCGGAGATTGCACCCCACCTCCATAGGATATGGGAAACGTAGGCTGCATCTCCAGCTGTCCGTGGTGAAAGTTGTCAGGGATGACGACGTAGTCTCCGATCGAGACACTAGAGACGCCACTACCCGTCTGTACAACGTAGCCAATGCCCTCGTGCCCGAGAACATAAGGGTCCTGGTCCGGAGCGAATCCTCGATAGGCATAAAGATCTGACCCGCATATACCAGCGGTGGTCAACTTGACGATGGCATCAGTTGGAGAGACGAGCTTTGGGACTGCAACGTCTTGGACGGTGACGTTGTATAGGCCCGTGAGCAAGAGAGCTCGCATAGTGGCGGGAAGAGTGAGGTTGGCTAACATGATGGAATTCTAGTAAAGGTCTACTGATGCGAAGTTGGATGACTGGAATTAGGGATATACAATACGGAGGATTCGGGGCACTTATATGTTGAATACTTCTTTGTACTTTCACTTCTGTGAGAGGCTGAGTCTTTGCGCCTGGTATTGCATCCAAAGAGTGCGGGAAAGGCGGCCGAAGGTCATATCCGGGAGATCCGATATAGCTACGGTGTAGTATGCTACCCTATCTCCGGCGCGGAGATTCGAATATAACTGACGTGTTCGGAGGTGGCTGAGAATTGCGAGTCTTGAGGTTACGTGGAACTGTGATCTGTTTGCTACCTGTGCTAGGATCTCACCGCTCATCATTTCGGGTCCCTACAGTTCTTGCTTGTCGGGAGCAGANNGGGTCAGATCAAGATGTGCAGGCCCCGGCAGCTAATCAGACTCAATCCACACGTCCGATGAGATAGATTATGAATTGTGTAGTTGGAAGTCCATGTTCACTGCAATGAACCGAGTTGGATACCATACAGGTGGGAGCAATTACGTCGGACGGTTAGTACATTCCAATTACAATGATGCCAACCAGGCTGACTCATCGGCTATTGAGAGCACTATCGATAGTGCTCCATGTATGTTCAGCAAGACAATCCCTTTGGCTTTGACTCCAGACAGCCTTGTTCTTGATGACACTCCCATCGCTATCCATGTTACTCCAAAAATACCCTTCTCTCCCACTCTCACTCGCGACCTTGTCCAGATTCCCCAACAATAGCTGAGCACACGTCTCGGGCTTCACAGCGATCAAGGGGCCAACCACCTTAACAGCTGCTCTCATATACCACGGCCAGGCTCTTGTAAGACCAGTCAAGACTCCTCCCGGATACACATGCGCATAGTGCCGTTTGTCATCACCCTTTTGTATAGTGGCGTAGTGTTGAACCATAATGTCGAGCATAGTAGCACACTGCTGGGCAGCCGTGCTCATAGAGTAGCTTGTTCTGAGATCGAGGTCGTCCCAGTTTATACGAGCCGGAGATCCTTCCCTGCCATTCAAGATGAATAGGACCTTTGCATCTTGTTCAAGAACCGGGGTCAGTTCACGGACAATGAGTTGCCGACCGTAATAGTGAAGCGCCATTTTGCGATCAATGCCCTCGTCGGTCTCATCGCGACCGGCAAAGTTTGAAGTTCCCTGAGACAGGATGAGCAACGCAATCCGATGCCCCGCGAGCCTGTCTTTGAAGTTGTCGGCCCATTGCTTGATTCCGCGCATTGAAGTAGCTTCAATTGGTGAAAATTCAATGTTTGACGATAAGTTGGCGGGTTTGGTACGACCGCAGACGGTGACGACAGCATTGGAGGTTGCAGCAACGTGGTGGGCCAGAGCTAGGCCAATTCCACTTGTGCCACCGACAACCAATGTTCTGAGTGCCATTGCTGTAGGTAGCTTGCGCGTTGGATTGGAGCAATTTGATGGAGCTGAGAAGTATGATGATGCATTTGTTGGATCATCGGCCCAGGGAGAGAGTTTAATAGTAATACAAGGGCTAACCAGACAGGAGGAAAGTGGATTAACAAAGTAACACTGGGCTTAGACGTAGTCCGCACTTTGCTGTTCAGCACAAAGAATGCGGCCGCAATGCCCGATCGCAACTCCACCGCTAACACGCGAGTTTCGACGCGAGCAAGCCTTGGCAGGCTGATCAAACAACGGCAGCTCCGCATCCCATCAGAATGAGGTCGAGAAGCGACCTCAGCTTCTCATAGTCAGAATCGGAGTTCTCCAATTGACAGTGGCTCCTCTTTTAAGGTTCAAAACGTCGCTCACGCATCACGACAGTTCCGAAGACCGCACTAAGCACTGGAGTTCGAGGTCCTGACTCTCCATTTTGTTGGTCCCTCCGGGGGCTCCTAGCGGAGAGCTCTTCCTCGCTGCGCTCGCGGGACCCAAGTAGTAAAAATTGTGACATGACCGGATTTGACAGGTTGGGACTTCACTGATTAATGGACACATTATTCCAAGGGCGTAATCTCCAATGATTGAATGACATGTTAAAGCGAGTTACGGAGGAGATACCCTCTGGATGACCTGATGCTCAATTGCTGTGACGATTGCTAGCTTTGTGCAACTACATATACGGCTTCACCTGTTCCATGGTCCATTCCCAAAACTTGCTCCCGAGATCTGGCTCTACAAAGTCTTTTCGAATCTTCTCGACCTTACCAAATGGAGACACTACTACAGTCAGCTGGTGTTATGAAAGATACAAGGCCACTTACCCCATCCGCCGTTGTTTTCTTCAGTGATGGTATCACTTAAACCTGCAAAGAGCTCAGTATAGGCCCCATTGATAGGGTCCGATGAGATCAGTTTCTGAGCGGGTTAGCACAGTTATTGGTGGTGACGCCAGATAATACTAACAAACATGGCGAGTTCCATCTTGGACATGTTCAGCTGAAGGTTGGTGACAAAATTGCCAGGGTTGAGGGCCTACACGGTCAGAGGAGTTGGATCGGTGGAAGGTCACTTACAAGACTGATGATGCCGGTGCCTTTGGTTCTTCTCGCAAACTCGGCTGAGTGTACAACACTGGCAGCTTTACTGCGCGAGTACTTCATCCACGCACCCTCCTTACGGTGGTAATCCATATTCGTCAGATCTACTGCCGGATTGGGTGCAGCATCAGCAGCGCTAGAAGCGACCCAAACAACGCGGACAGAGTTCTTGGGCGCTGATGCAGCGGCATTTTCAAGGGCAGGGCGAAGCAAAAGAGTGAACAAGAAATGAGCACTGTTGTTTACGCCGTACTGGAGTTCGTAGCCCTGCTTTGTCTTGGAGCCATCAGGCGGGATCATGACGCCTGCGTTGTTCCAAAGGACATCTAGTCGGCTTTCCTTTTCTAAGAAGCGATCGGCCGCTGGCTTGATTGTCGACAGGTCATCGAGCTCGAGGTGGAGGAAATGGAGTTCGCCTGTTGAGGAGGGATGCGCTGATTTGATCTCTTTGATCACTTCTTCGGTCTTGGATTGGGATCGTGCAGCGAGGTAGACCTTTCCGTTGTGTTGATAGAGTATGTCGACGAGAAGCTTGCCTAGCCCACCTGACGCGCCGGTGACGAGAAAGACCTGTACTGATCAGTGTCTGCTGGCTGATGGTATGGAGATCGTACCTTGCCCTTCTGATCGGGGAGATTCTTCTCTGTCAGAGGTGGCTTGTTAGGCACCACTGTGCTACAGCGCATTCCAAGGTTCAGACTCATTTTAACGGTAAATACGAAGATGTCAATAATGTGGGATAGGAGCTGAGGATGTGTTCCTAGAACAGGGGGCAGCTGGTTCAAACTGGACAACACGATTTCAGCTGAAGCGGCGTTCTTTCCATCCGAGTTCAGTGGTCTAACCAGTTCAAGATCAAGGTTTGGGCCTTGAATCTGGAATGCGGCGCACTGGAGCCGCCGATCACTAGTGCCAGCGGGAAATGCGGCCGCACATGGGGAGCCAGTAATCAACTGAGCTTGGCCCGGAACAGGAGGCAACGCTTGGAGATTGTCTTGTGAGAATCCAATTCAATTTACGTTATGGCTTTATCGCTAAGTTCTAGTGCTGATTTAAGTTATATGCCACAATTGACCGAGCGGCTTAGATATATGCTGCGGGATATTGAACGCGTCGGCCAAATGAAACGAATCTCAACTACAAATCACACTTTAGAAAGGAACGAGTAGGCACAAAGAGTAAACATAAGGAAAGGCTTCTTCAGTACCGTAATAAAGAAAACTGAGGACAATTTCTAAAGCTCCCAAGGCTCTGTTGGACCTTTGGAATTCGTAGGCATAAGAAAGTCAATATGATCAACGTAGTAACAAGCGCATATTACAAGTTCAAACTTCAGTCTCAGACAACATAGAAATAGTATTACAAATGACCCCTCAGAGCTTCTCTCCCTCAAGCTCCTTCTCCGTCCAGTCCCACAGCTTAGCAGCAAGCGCACTGTCATTGGTATGCGGCTTACCCAGTCCTGTTCGACCGATTGGCTCATAGTACGTGCCCGAGACCACATTCTTAGACGTCGACGCCCACAGCTGGTTCAACGTGCCTGTAGGAACATCTACACCGATGAAGAAAGCCGTCACCTTCCACGCTAGGCGCATTACCCAGCTGTTGTCGCTCATGGTGTTGGCCAGGTTGGTGGTCACCAAACCGGGCTGAAGCGAGGCAGTCGTGAGCTGGGGATAGCGTCTGGCGAGCTCCTTGGCAAACAAGGCATTGGCGAGCTTACTTTGTCCATAGCGTGTGATGGCGCCCATTTGTAGAGCCTGAGACTTGAGCGTGTCGAACTTGATACCCTCGGGGGGTGCATACTGGTGAGCAGATGAAGCGAGGACAGTAACACGGACATCATTGCCCTTATCGGCGGTTCGGAGGAGTGTTGGGAGGAGGAGCTTGGTCAGAAGAGCGTGGCCCATGTGATTTGTGCCGAACTGTATCTCATACCCGTCGTCGGTTGTCCCAGGCGGTACAGACATGATGCCTCCGTTGAGCAGGAGGATATCTAGACGATCCGATTCCTGGGTGAACGCTTTGGCTGCCTCGCGGATCGACTTGAAAGAAGCGAGATCTATCTTGACGAATTTGATTGGGGCATTGGGGACCTGCGCTTTGATGTCGCTGATGGCTTCCTTGGCCTTTGCTTCGGAGCGGGCTCCTAGCCAGATCTCTTTGGGATCATGCTTGGCAAACTGGAGAACGGATTCCTTTCCAAGACCGCTGTTTCCGCCGGTCACAAGGATGACTTTGTCTTTTAATGAAGGGATGTCGGTGTCAGGGTTGAACTTGACGCTTTTGCTTCCTGCGGAGCCCATGGTGCGATGAAAGAATTAAGCTGTAGAGATAGATGAAGTGGAGTGTTGTCAAGGGACTGGAGGTTTGCAAAGATTGATCGCAGATAGAGCATGCTACACTGGGACGATTTGGCTGGCATTGCCGATCTTAAGTACTCTGTCTTGACCTCATATCATCGCGACGGCTGCAATCACAACTGCTTCGCTTCAAGACCCAAGCCCGCCAATACTCCGCAAAGTCCGCACTAATCAAGTAGTAGTCACTCGGTGCGGTGCAAACCCTTGTGTAGTCTGATGGAGACTTGGCCGTGATGGGAATGGTATGAGCGGCCGCAGTATCCGCGTCGCATGGGCCAAGTGCTGCGACCCCGTGTTTGGGCAGTCTAGTCTATTATTAGTGCAGAATGAAGGACTTAACGGATCGCACAGTTTAGATAATTACAGAGTGTAAATAGATATCATTACATATTTAGCGTTAATACAGAGTCAAGAACTTTGACCTCTTCCGTAAGGATGAATCGATTATTATACAGGCGCATCCTTAATGCTAAGAAAACCCGTTTTAATAAGACTTGTATTAGCTATCATCTACAAAGCACCTGTTATAGCCCTCTGACTCAAGACTTCAACATTCCTCGTCAAATTCTCCGCCATCTTGTACTGCTCACCATCAGTGATGCGCACAATATCCTCCGCTGCACTGTCGCACCAGTCCCTAAACTCCTCCTTTCCGCGCTCAAAGTCACCGTCATTCATAGCCGCCAGCGCCTCCATCTTATTGATCCCCGGCCGGATGTACTTGTTAGACACGAAGACATACATGCTAGCCACGTCTGCAGTAGCCGAGAAGCGTCCCTGCAGTTCAAATGCGTTTCTGAGTAAATTCTGCTTACTCCTCTCACGAATCTTGTCAACGCTGTCTCCCTTGTCCAGCGCACGTTGGATTGGGTTCAGGAAACTCTGCAAGTTCTCGTTTACGGTCGTCGTGATTACGGTCTGCACTCGGCTGAAGAATAATGCCATCTCCTCGACTTCTTTCTTTAGCTCTGTTAGGCGGCGCATAGACTCTTCGAGAATCTTCATGATCTGCTCCTGTTTCTTGTTAGCATGCGCGTTGGGAGGGACGATGAGACACACTAGTTCAATCTTTTCAGAGCATAGACGCTGAAGCTCGGCATGGGTCTTTGCGAGATCATGCTTGGCTTTCGTGAGACTGTGATGACTGATAGAGAGCTTTTCTTTCTGTTTGTTTAGTTCTTCCCAGAGCTTCGTCTCGTTTACTCTGGCTTCGTCCAATTGAGCCTGCGCTACTCGTCTCTGCATCTCGCGCTGCTCTGCTGCTTTGGCTATGTAGGCTTGTCTTTCATTCGCGATACTTTCCGCATGTTCTTTACGGTGCCTGTTCTCTGCTGCGACCTCGCTGTCCCTGGAGCCGAAGACATATTCTAATCCTTTGGTGAATACGCCCTTTTGCCCTGTAAAGAGTTAGCATATGAGTGATGCAGTTGTATATGATTTCTTACCACGACTTGGTGCGGGTCGATCTGGAACGAAGTCCCGCGCGTGCATCATATCGGACCAGGCGGGTGGCTCCTCAATTGGTGGCCGATCAAGTAGCACATTCAACCTTCGCTGGGCTTCTTCAACCTCTCTACGGGCCATCTGAAGCAACTTCTGTTGCTCTTGGATGGCTCGTTTGGCATCTTCTTCCTCTCTCTCTCTGGTTTGTCTCTCTGCATCTGCCATGACAGCGTCGACAGTATTTTGAGATCGTTTCTCTTCAGTCATCGCTGGTAATCGTTAGCAATTGAAGACCACGGGACACTGTTCTGGACGTACACCCCGCATCTTGCGAGTTCTTGAGAAGATGCATAATCACTCTCTCCCAATACTCAAACTTCTTTGTGATAGCTTCAGCATCGGCTTTGAAGTTCTCAGCGTTAGTTTCCAGTCGCTTCATAGCTCCCGGGAGGTTATCCTCAGCGTCCTCCAAATCGCTGAGTAGATCGATAATATAGGCGATGGTGCCCTCGGGCGCAATCATGCTGCGAGCGACACTCTGGAGGTTGTTCATGCGTTTCTGTGCATTAAGGAAAGCAAGTCTACCGATGTCCGCACAGTGCTGTAGATTTGTACGAAAATACTCTGACCTTCACTTCCGTTAGCCATCGATCTTAGCGCGGATAGGATACTTACGGGAGCAGACCGATGGGTTGCCCAGTCTCATCCGTGATCTCCTTATCCCTCACCTTGATGTTGGCAGCCTCGCGCACAGCCGCCGTTTTGAGACACAGAGCCATGATGGAGATGGCATTGGGGGCGTGCGTGAGGGGCTTTGCCCATTCATTGCTCATGAGCAGGTCACTTGCCTTGATGGTCTGAACGACGTCTCGACATGACATTTGAAGGGCGAGAGCATAGTTGGCTCGCTGCTGGGCTTTGTGGTCATAATCGGGTTGGCCAACACCATAGGTTGATGACTGACGAAAGTCGTCCGGATGAGACGGATAGTCTGCGCCGTTGGCTGCCGTTCGGCCTTGATCAAAACTCATGATTCAGGGAATGTCTTCAATGAATTGATTGCTCTTTGGATCGATGCGGTTAATAATTCCAAGAGATGATACTTCCTTTTATCACCATGAGGTCTTGGATATGCGGCTCTTGGACGGTTATCTGCCTCGTTCATGGTTCGCATACGCTCAGGCCTCCATCACATCAGCCTGGCGCGGAGTCTAGGCCATGAAATCAGCCCATCCATGCAAGCCGTGAGAGACATGCATGCGTCAGACGTGATCATCATNNCCCCACAGCTGATGGCTCACATCACGCGCCTCACACACGTGAGAGACATGCGCGCTCCAAAAATGCTTGATAAGGTCACCAGTACCTCAAGATTGATTAGTGCCACAAACGATAACAAGTCTACTGCAACCTTGAATTGATTCAGGCTGAAAGGTTAAGGTCTAGCAAGCTTTCCTTTCTGTAACCTCGTTGCCTCAAATGCGAGCTGGCAGATGCAGCTGAACCAGGAACAAGGGAATCACAGTGCCCGTGTCGCAACGGACTGTACAGGCGATTCAATTCAGGTATTTGATTGAGTGTTCGATTCAAATTGACAGATGCAAGGGGTTAAGTATTGGTTGGTGGGTTGATTACAAAACGCCTGTGCAGTAGTTCATCTAGTATGGCTGACGTTGCTGCACGGGCGTTTTGTCAATCCAGTCAGCTACACGCACGTCAAATCGAACCATCCTCTACGAAACTGTGAAGCTATTTACTACCACGGCGTTGTCTGCCTTACATGGAGGCTTAACTTTAGACGCCAAATTCAGCCGCATTATGCAAGGCAGTCAATAGTGCATATACCCGTGTCCATATAGCCAATAAACATCTTGATCACCCACTCAAATCATGCGCGTCCATGCCACAACTGAAGCATGGAATGTTGTAGCGGTCTCAAACATGCGAGGATGTCGCTGGTGGTGTTCTAGATGTGGCCAGTTGAAATATCGACGTAGCTGAAATAAACCTTGTCAAGTAGTGAACCACTAGAACTGTCATACGAGTATCTGTTCTAATATAGACTGATTCTCCAAGTAAAGGACGTTGCAGGATTTCCCAGTCGATTACCCTCATGTGCGTGAGCATTAGCACCCTTTGCCCAGCGTCAACCCTTTTTCAATAATGGATAGCCTTTCCAATAACGTCTCCGATATTCAGGACTCACTTCGATCTGCTAGGGAGCGACTCAATTCGCTTGATACCACTTCAAAGAACATTGTCGCTACAGAAGTCGCCTCTGTTCGGTCCTCTCTTCAGAACAGTCTGAGCAAAGCCCAGCATGCCAAATTGCAGATGAGGTCATTCCTATTGTTAATTGAAAATGTTGAAGATCCAACAACAGTCAACATGGCCCCTCAGATCTCTTGGTTGGCTCGATCTCTCGATGATATTACTGCCTCTATCACCCAAGCTGAGGCATCGGCAGATGGCGCGCTACAGTCCACCATGGACTGTAGCTACCAAGTGATGGATGTCGGACGAGATGTTGAGGCTCAGGATGATTTGCTAGATGAATGCCAGTCGCGAGCAAAGGACCTCGCCAGCCAGGCTGAGAGCTCTCTTGCCTCTAGCGAAGCAATCCTGGCGCAGACACAGCGGGATGCCAGTGCCAAAGAAGAGGAAATCCGTATCAAGACTCGCCAGGCGAATGAAAAGAAGACTAGGAAAGCAGAACTTGATCGTGAGATAACGCAAAAGAATGGACAAATTTCAGAGACACACAGACGCCGTGAGAGTAAGAAGGAATCGGCAGGCGTAGGACTGGTATGCACTCACATTTGCACGTCTAAGAGATTTGACTAATTAGAAGATAGATGCTGACCGGCATCGGCCTCATAGCTGCACCTTTCACCGCAGGGGCATCATTGGGACTGGCAGCAGCCGGAGCAGGATTTGCTGGGTGAGCAACATGCGCAGATTATCGGAGAAAAAGCTAACACATCATAGTTACAAGGGCATTCGCGTATCGGATCTAAAGGACGAGATTGTCGCCCTTCAATCCAGGGTGTCCACTTTGAATAGAGAGATATCCCAAGACCAGCAAGTAATCTCGAACCTCGAGATGGAGCAGCGCAACCTACAAAACCTAGTCTCGCAGTACCAGCGTGACATTTCTTCTCGTCGATCAACGCATCAGCTCTACCAAAAGCAGATCACAGAGGCTAACAAGGTAGAGAACGACATCACAGCGCTCAAGGGTGTTGCAGAAGCCACTATCTCCAATATCAACGACGTCAACTCCGAATTGCAGGATGTAAAAGAGTGTCTGGACGAGTGTAGCTCTCTCTTGCAGGCCAAGTCAGTTGATCTGTCGACCTCGGCGACCTCTGTTGACTGGGTCATTGGTGTGGTTGGTAGATGCACTAGAAAGTTCCGTGTAAAGGAGTTTGAGAGGCAGATAACGCTCATGGAGCAGGTTGCTGAGGTGCTTGACAAGATTGAACAGGAAGGCCAACTACTGTTGTCAAGCCAGGATATGGCTTTCCTGGATACAATGGCTTGGGATGTCAAGAGACCAATCGTGGAGGAAAGCGAGACAATTCCCGAATTAGTAATGGTTTAGTGTTTATATCTTTACATGCGCAGTCTCCTGACCAAGGTACATGACCTCAATTGAATCGCGGCCGCACCGACCGCCCCGGGAGTTGACTTGATAAACCTTTCTTTGCGAATTTTGACCACCTGAATCAGACTTACGAGGAATTCAAAAAGGCAAGTGATGTGATGAGTCTGAGCAGCTCGTAGATGGATTTGAATTGCTAATGGCCCACTACGCTACCTGCAGTAATCCCATCGCACCCGTCAGTAGAGCTGCAAAAAGGAAACTGGGAATAAAAGCATTCTGTAGGTCTGTTGGATTTATGAAGACCAGCCAGATAACCACAAATATCCCACCCAAAATAATGCAGAGAAACAGCCATGCCAGAAACCTTCGCTGAGAAAACCCCATCTTGGCATGCAAGCCCCAGCCAGGTTCTGATATTCTCTTCGAGAAAGGTGGAGGGTTTCTCTTATTGGGAAGCATGCTGATGATGGTTGTTTCTCCTCTACCTTTCCTCGGATCACGCAGTCCAAATACCATCTGCAACCCAGCTGCTCTCATGTGAAAGTCGTGAGGCAAAGGAACGGAATGGTTGTAGAATGGAGTTGCGGGAGGAGGAAGTTCTTTCTGGATGGGATTGACTTGGTCTTTGTTCTCCCATATTACAAGGAACTGCAAATCAGTACAGATTGTGATATGGGGGTATTTTCTGATCATACCTGAACAAAGTCGATTGCGGTACAGCGCTTCCACGAGAAGAGTCGACGAATCCAGCCCTCTGTGCTACCGATAGCCTTGTTGACTTGACGAAACAACTGTTCGTCATCTAGTTTCTCTGCATCCTGAATGGGAGAAAGATATATCTCTGTTGGCTCTGTAAAATTCCTCTCGATGCACCAGTAAATGTCTTTCGTATTTACGGTTGTCCGTAGTATGGAGGAAATGGGGCTTGCCAGAGCAGTGGTACCGAGAGAGGACTGAGATGGTTGTCCGAGATTGATGGGTTGCGTAGAAGAACTTGGTTTGGCAGCTTGCTGTGCCTTGAGACCTTGTCGTGTAAGAGGGAGAAGGGGAACATTGTTGGTGGTCACAGGGAAGCATGTTGGTTTATAGCGATCATACTCGTCCTGTGAAAGAGCTAGGGACAAGTCGATTCCGTGCCACTGGGACGCGTCAGTGTCCACACGACTTTCCGCAAGACGATCTGGACTTACTTTCCAAGTTGCTATGTAATCACCGGCATCCACCTTGGGTAGTGGTTGTTGTAATGGAGCCCAATCTATTGACCGGCCAGTCCATTCCTCAATCTTGAGTCTTACGGTATCGAACCTCGAGTGTGCCAGCCGATCCGCTGAAACGAACCGAACTATTCTTACTCCGTCATCGTAGCTGATGTTAGGGAAGTTGTTCTGTAACGTATTAGCTATGAAGTGATGACTGGAAACAAACACACATCTGCCAAATCCTCGCACACGTCAGCTATCGTAGGTCTCAACGCTGACTTGGCGAGCATTTCCTTGATTACTGGTTGCAACATGCCTGCTCGGTAATCTTTGTACGCCATCCGGTCAATGAACTCGAGAACTTGAGGTTTGACCTGCTCGCCATCGTCGAAGCGAGTATCGTGAAACACGTCAGAAGAGATATTATCCTCTGTAGTCGTTATGTGGTTTCGAAACTCATGTACACCGGATGAGCCTCCACCGACCAGATAGGCAAGCATCTCTGTAAACACACATCCCAGCTTCCAGATGTCATTAGCCATCAAGTCAGATGAGGAAGGGATCTTGATTCTTGCGCTTGATTCTACCCCTGCTATGGGAGACGCGTTCCGAGCCTCTGGAGAGTCATACAGCCAAGCTGATTGACGAGCTCGGCTACCTTGCTCCCATGTTCGGGCTCTGGAAAGATCGACTGATAACCCAAAATCTGTAAGCTTTAGAGAGAGTCCGTTCCCGAAAGGCTCTTCATATATCAGAATATTTGATGGCTTGATGTCACGGTGTGCCATATGAGCAGAGTCGTGAAGGTAGGCAACTGCACTTGAGAGCCCAGGAATTTGGCCCCAAAGAGAATCAAGATTTCGGTTTCGAAGGGGAATTGGGACATAGACTTCTCGGAAGAGACGTTTCAAGTTTGAAAGAGCTAGTGGAAACAGAAAGTTGAAGTGCTGTGTCGCATCTTTCTCGGATCTGAAGACAGAGAGTATCTCAATCAAGTGAGGATGATTCAAGCTCTTGAGCCTCTTCAAAGACTCATATTCGGCCCAGAATTGCTCAGGGCTCGTGGATTCATGTAAACGTTTAACAGCGCACTATCCAGTTAGATGCAGTGACCTTGAACAACGACTAACATACCTTTCGGACGACATCTTTTGAGTCAGAAAGATGCCCGTTCAATGACAAGCGAGTCTCTACCCCGAATACCTTGGAGGTTTCACCGCTTGCGACCTCAGTTGCGTACAAACCCTTCAAAGTTCTTCCTACTTCGTCTGCTGTAACGTTTTCAACGACAACCAAGACTTGCTCTGGCGTCGCATGCGCCTTGCGATCCATTGAAGGAACCACCTGTGTCATTGAATCAAATAACGGGATTTGGCTTGTATCAGGAACCTCAGGCTGCTCGGTTGTGGTTTGAGACAAAGGCGGGGCGGTTGGTGGTCTTCGCCTCTGATCCCCGTATTTCTTCGGCTAGTTCTGTGCGGTCAATATAAGCTCAAAGCTATAGGCCCCAAGGGTAGGCTTACCTTGATTGCTCGTGGAGTAAACGGCTCCTCCCTCATATTGGCCTTGACAGCGTTGTTTTCTTTAACGATGCGCTTGTATCGACTCGCCTCGGCAACCGCATCCCTCTCCTCGACAGTTAGTTCCCGGGGAGCCAGAATAACAAACATTTCATCTCTGAACTACGAAGTGATTAGCTGACGTAGGCACGGGTTCGGAGATGACATACGGATACTTCATAGTCTCCATGGTAAATGTCGTCAAGAATCCTGCGCAACCTGACGATATCTACCTGATAAGAAGGAAGCGTGAACCTAACCCAATTCTTGCGATTCATTGATGCAATAAGCTTGCGGAAGTCGAAGTTTGATGCCTGGAGGGAGCTCGTAACCCCGCATGGGCACTGCCTGCGGCTGAGACCTACTGCAGACGCTGATCCACGATGAGGGATTATTGATGGCCCGGCATCCGACCAGACCAGGGATGGTGAGCGTGGGCGCTCGCTGGCAACTAAAGAGCCAATCCAAGACTTGCGCTGTGAAACGATCTTGGGGAGCAAGAGAATATCAAGCCATGATAAAGGGTGCTGAAATAAGCTTACTCTCTAACCTTATGCCAAGTTACCTAAGTATTTTTATCCTTTAGGGTTGAGATTTTGAGTTTTCTTCCTCCCCTAGGTGAATAAATATCTGACTAAAAGGCGTCGATGCTATCACTGAGCAGAACAAAAGGCACCAGTCTGGTCTCTTATTCATGGTAGGTTCAGTGCTCAGCAGCAGGATCGATGATATTGTACCTAGCAGCAGTTGCTAGGCAGGAAATGGTATTAGGATAAAACTTTAGCCTAAGAAATGGGAGTGCAAGAATAACAGAAGGTTGGATCGAGTTCTAGGCCCTCAAAAGGGCAAAGTAACGGAACACGGGCTAATTTACGCAATACCCGAATACTGATCAAATAGACAAATGCAATTTACTAACTCATATCCAACACAATCTGAAGAAGCTCCAGTCCTTTAGTCCAATCTCAAACAAGCTTGAGGTTTCCAACTGAATAGCCACACATCTGATCAGGAGACTTGCTACGAACTCCTCCAGGTCCAGTCCCTTCAATCTTGGACCAGTCAATCTTGAGCCAAGGCTTCTCCCCAAAGTCCATAGCGTTAGGTTCCCAGTTAAGAAGGGGGTTCGTTCCAGAGTCTTTCTCAACTTGGAGAGCCTGCTTCCAAGGTTGGGCCTTGGTGGGCTGGGGGCAGATGAGGTCGCATTCGCCGACAGAGCTTTCGCGGGTCATGGACTCTTCTTCGTACCGTTTCTTGTCTGCGTCGGTGGGACGACCGCGAGAGTGTGAACGAGTTCTCTCCATTTCTGCGTCTGTGAGTTGTCAGTGGAAGTTCTTGGGGAATAGTTGAGTCAGTACTATTTGAGTTGTAGTTATTGTAGCTTGTGATTGAGATTGGATTGAGTGTTGCGACTTGAGAGAACAATCAGTTCGAACGTCGCCGAACTCGTTCTTTTATCATTGAAGCAGAGCCTCAGATCTGAGCCTCCAATGAAAGGCGCATAAGATATCACAGAATTCGGGAAATCTCATCCGGAACTGATTGGCTATACAAAAAGGAGTACACCCACTTGTGCTGATGTTGTCCAACCAGATTGGCGTCCCACGCCGAGATAATCAACCGGATTATCTCTGCAGTAGCCTCTGCATGGAATTGATCATGAGATCTTTTTGCACCAATGATCAACTCTTACCCCGCTTCAGATGAGGCTCTGTGAGGATGATCGGTTAGAATCTGCCAATCAACTGCTCAAGATCACAGCCTGATTCGTGACTTGAAGACTTCGGTCCCGAGATTTTTGTCGGGGCGAGTGTCTCAGTTTCCGATGCAACTCAGCATTCCATTCGAAATAGAGATTGCAGCATACATTCTGAGAGGCGCAGATAAGGGTGGATTCACTTGGTAATTATCAACACTGAGATCGGTCAATTAACACAGGTATTGACAATCGATTTAAGAAAGTGCTCATTAGACTCCCAAAACAGCGATTTTACAGGAGCAAAGCCTATCCGATTACATAAACCCTAAGTTCAATGCTCTCACGTATCTCTTCCGCAACAGCAGGGTCCTCATCAAAGAACGAAGTATGTGGCGTATCTACCCTAATCAGTACACATCTCAAACGGGGCTCGGCACTTACACATGGCAACATCCTCGCTTCTCGCCAAAGAATCCATCGTCTTGATCAGCCAAACCTCCTCATCAGATTGGTCACTAACGTAGTACCACTTCTGATCTGCTGAGTAAGAGAAAAGGATATTCTCACTCACAACGTGGGGGTAGACCAAATCACTGCGATGCCCGTCTTTTTCATCACATGTACGGTAATCACAGAGTGTGAGGGGGTATTGGCGGACAGGCTTGAGGGGTTTCCAGACACTGTGCTGTCAGAGGGGACTGTATGTGAAGGGAAACTTACTTTATTATTCGGAAGCGCTGAGAGAGAATCGAGGGGGCTTGGGAGCCAAAGTCGTGTTTGATCTTGGCGATTGTTCCTTCATATGTTTGGTCTGTACATAAGATGAGGTTGCCAAATGTCAAGGTTTTTGGACCATACCATTGTGAGCGACCTTGCTGGGTCTGCCGATGTACGCTTTCTCATCTTCAGGTGCAGAGCCTCGCGGTTGACTCTGACGGACCTACTTCGATTAGCACTGCCGAGAACCCTCATGGAGACATACAATATGATCAAACACGCAAACCTTGACATGACTCCCCAGAACATCCTTCATAAACTTGACCACAGCAGGATATCCTTCTTCTTGAAACGAGGGCCCGACATCAGAGAATTGGTTCTTCCATTCAACTAACTGAAAGCCATTTTTGTCGAGTGTAAAGTCAGATTCATGGCCTCTAATATCAGATATCTGAACCCGTGCACTTGTGTTGATGACATTTGTGTTGGCAATCTTGGTCTGGGTGAAAGGTATGTTGGAATAAAACGGCTTCTCGGTTGCCCATTTCGGGTCTGAGGCGTCGAAGAATTGGAGGGTCGCCGATTTGGATGGCAGTGAGTTCAACTCATCCGGCCCTTCGTTTGGTTTGTGCTCTGAAATTACTTCAGCCATGGTGACTTGCTTTCAATTACAACATAGACTACACTGAGATTGAACAAATAGCTGTTGAATTTATCGTCGAGAACTCGCTTCACAGGGATCAAAGTCAAGAGCCTCACGGATTGTCCCCGCACATGCAAGTAAGCAGCCAGCCTGCTTGAGCCATCTACTACAACCCTGCAAGTTGGTCTCATATCAGTTAATTCACGCATCTCTAACTAATGAGAGCAATGCCCAGAACACCATCATGAAATGAGGCCCGAAAGCCATGTGTGACTCGCGCACTGACTTACTCACACGATTGTGTCTTATCACACAGTAACAGTTGAGACACTGACCCTCCTCTCAACAATCACTGAAGCAGCGGCGGAGCTTTCCTCGGACCGAAAGTACCCTCCCATGCATTCATGAACTTGAGAATCTTGGCTTCCTGGTTCTTGGCTGCGAGGACTGCGAGTCCGAAAGGGCGGCCGTTGAAGTCTAGGTATCCGAGAGGAACATTTCCGACGGGGTACCCTGGAATTGTCAGCGTTGCTTAATAAATACTGGAGTAAACATACCACTTCCACTTGCATACGCCTTGATAGCAGTGTCGCTTGATCCGACAATCACATCGACACCGTATTCCTTGAAGATGCGATCCAATCCATCGTCGCGCGCAACCTTTCGGAGATGAGAGAGGTTCTTCTCGTAGTCTTCGAGTGAGAGATCTGATTCTTCGGCGTCGATCAAGAGTCCCTGGTCATCGTAGCCTGAGAGGTTAGCTAGGTCATCGATTGAGATGAGGACATACCAGGAGGCATTTCGAGATCGGGATGGGCCTTGTTGAACTCGATAAGATCTTTGAGGGAATGGATCTTGGTGTTTTCCGCTGACTCGAGAAATTTGTTGAGGTCGTGCTTGAAATCGGCCACTTCTTTGTCAGTAAAAGTGTCAATAGGGGGAGGATGACTTACTCATGATGACTCCCTCACTGTCCTTCCCGTCAAGCATGAAACTCTCAGAAGGAGGCGGAAGAGGAGCGTCGCCGACATACTTCTTGGCTAGCTCCTCCATCTTGTCATACGCAGCTTGGATCTCGGCGTGCTACACAGTCAGCTAGCTCATGAAAGTGGCAGCGAACTCACCATCTGCTCTGTCGCACTCTCAACAGGCTTAAGGTAATCCTCCCCTGGCCACCATTTCTTGAAGTCGATCGTCGCGACCGACAGCTCATCCCAGGATCCTCCCAGAGTCGCAAACTCATCAGTACCAGAGATGACATCGAGCAAAGCGGCGAGGTCGTGTGGGGTCTTGGCCATAGGTCCAGCTGAGTCCATGGTATGGCTGATAGGGATGATCCCAGACTGAGAAACGCGTCCGATTGACGGTTTGATCGTGTACAAAGCTGCTCGCGACGCGGGAGATACCAGGGATCCGTCTGTTTCGGTGCCGATGGAGAGGGGGGCGTAGCCTGCGGACACGGCGACTGCTGAGCCGGTAGAAGAGCCGGAAGGGTTCTGAACTGTCAGTATGGGATGCGGTGAGTGAAGAAAGACTCACGCTGTGACCGTTGTTGCTGTCATCAGGATCGATGCCGCCGCGAACGTAGGCGGATTGACACTGGCCGCCCTTGCCGGACCAACCGCTCGGGAGGTCATTGCTTCTGAGAGGAGTGAGTCGCGCTTCATGCGAGATGGCTTCAGATGACGTACCGATAATATGCCCATTCCTGTTGAGGAGTCAGTTAACATGGCCAAACTCAGAGACTGGAGCACTCACACTCAGATTCGCTTTGCCGATGATGATGAGCCCAGCTTGGATGAGCTTGTTGACGAGATCGGCATTCGAGGTTGGGGTCATGCCATGCAGCGCCCAAGAACCACAAGTCGTCTCCATCCCCAGCTCAGGAACCGTCGCGATGTTGTCCTTGAAAGGTCAGCTTCATGCAATAGCGACAGCGACGCCACAGTCATACCTTGATCACAATCGGGATCCCATGCAATCGCCCCCGGACCTTGCCATCCTTTCGCTCCTTATCAAGCGCCTCTGCTCTCTGTCGCAGCTGATCTTTCGGCACCAAACTCAACATCGCATGAAGATACTTGTCATGCTTCTGAATCATCTCAAGGCTCTTCTCCACCAAGTCAACACTGGTGAAGTGCCCACTTGTCAATCCGGAGGCCAGAGCCTTGGCGTCAACAGTGAGGAGATCGGGCAGAGTGCGACTCTGCGAAAGAAAGGGAACCATTTGACGGAGATTTGCCCAGGTGAACATGATGTAGAGTGTAAAAGCGAAGAAGGAAATAAAGGCGATGAAATGGAACTGTTGTTGAGCCATGCCGCGCGCATTCTCGTGAAGGTGAGGAGAAGCCTTATAAAGGTGAATGCGGGAGGCTGATGCAATTAACCGATTCCACGTGACTGCCAGTGCAGCATTCGCAGTGGCAGACAGTGAACTGATCAAATTGCTTATTGTTCAAATGGGCCTTTGGAAATCAACGTCTCTAGTTCTGGTGGGCACTGCAGGCTCATGAAAAAATCCAAATCTTCGACTGAAATGTCTTGGGTGTCATTGTTTGAGTTCTCCAGTAATCGCTCTTGGACTGGTCTGTCACGAAAATCTGACAGATATCGATCTAAGCAGAACGACTCAACTGAGCAAGGAGCAGAGGGAGATTTTTCTCCAAATGAGCTGAATGAACCAGCTTGTGCTTTTTCTGATGACATAATTTCCTAAGCCGTCAGTATGTTCTTGTCCTTTGAGCGACACTCATACTCACGTATTCGGCTGTAATATTGTACATGAGTTTATGAACAGATCAATACGTCAATATACATCACCAGTCTCACCTGAACAGACCCCAACTTTAATAATCTTTACAAAAACGCTCATTCACAGACATTAAGGTCTGCCGATTTCCCAATTCAGAAACGTAGCCTTACATTCCACTCATCAATATGTTTGGCTCCCATCTCATCCTGCTTTTCTCTCATGACACTTCACCAGGAGGACCCATGCAACAACTGATATTATCCATCTACTGAATCGTGTCACCGATTTCCCAAAAGGGAAGACAACAGGCAGCTGAAGACGATGACGAGGGTAAGCATCGCCTGTTCACTTTGCAAATTCTTGACGCCCGATGAGACTCTTCTGAATTACTAATTACCCCAAACTAATGCAGTTGTAGTTAATCCCTCTTCATCACCGGGCATGATCATAGGTTCAGCCCCAATTACCTTGAACCCGACGGACGTATACAGCTTGATTCCCATTGGACTCCCAAAAACCGTAGCGACAAATCCCTCGCGCTCTGCCTTTTCCATTCCGTATTTACAAAGAGCAGCGCCGCAACCTCTTCTGCGATAATCGCGATGCGTCGCGAGATTAACAAGATGGAGTTGCTTGCTGCCGAATTGACTGAAATGCATATCATAAACTTCTTCTACGCGCGACGCGAAATATCGCATGTGAGGGAGATTTGCATCACGACGTTCGTTGTCGCCCAGAACACCGGGTTTGACTGAGTTGTTAGCTAGGATGTGAAAATTGAGGCTGACATACCTGGTTTGGCACCAGTAAGACCAGAGACATCCCAGATGCCCAGAGCGACAATCTTTTGCCCAGCCTCTATGACGAGAATGTCATAGCTTTCAGGCTGTCTCAAAAACCCCTCATACTCAGCTCTGGTCCACTTCCACTGATCTTCAGGGTATTCATGGCGATATGGGAATCGGTAATCTCGTTCTGGATCATCAGGGAAGGCTTCAATAGCAAGTTTTGTGATTCCATCCAGGTCATCAATCGTAGCTTGTCGCATACGGAGTTCTTGGTCGATTGTTCGCTCCATGGTTGATGTATGTAACTCCCACTGTGGCTGGTTGATTCGTCTTTAATGGTGGTTGTCACCAAATGTTTACCGTCTGAAAAGAGTAATCGGTAGGTGAGACTGCAGATCTTTGCTCCTTATGGTAGTCGGTAGAAGCAACGGCTGACAAGTCACGCCAGCTCGGGATCCATGCCTGATGTGGAAGTCGGTAGAGGCGCTGAATATTTAGCTCCCGAACCCCACAACTTTATTGCGTGGATCTTTTGTACCGATTACTGAATTAAGCAAAATGATTGAGAACGGTAGGTCCTTTTGTCTGTGTTGTGATGAACTTTGCTGATTATGATAGTGGACTGGTTTGAGGTGATTGACAATCTGGAGGAGGATTTGTTTGATGGTGACGACTGGCTCTCGGAGCTTTTGCGAGAGGAGCCGAAGGATGGTGTCAATGTTGACGTGGAACCTGTTGAAAGTGTTCCGGTCACCGAATCTGCCGTGGTTGAAGAGTTGACTTTGGATCCGTCACTGTTGACACTTTCGACTTACACGAACTATCCCCGCAGTTACACTCAAACCTTTGAGCCCCATGATCTTCCGATGGATCATGTGTTTCCGAATTTGACTCTACAGCAAAGTGTCTCTACAGAGGATGAGACACGATTCACGCCGAGCACAAACTCCATCTTGACTCCTTCTGGGTCGAGTGCTCATTCTCAGAGTCCTCCCAGAGCAGCGAAAACTCAGAAACGCAAACCTCGCTCAGAGCGTAAACCAGATCGTTCAGATGTTTTGACCACAGATCTTGTAAGATACCTGAATCAGTGTTGTTCCCACTAACTCTTTAGGCCCCCAAAACAGAGTACAAACACGATCAGGGCGGCAACCTTCAGGGCGTATTCACTGTGTCCGGACTGAGCACTAGAGTCAGAGGTCCTTTCACTGAAGAAGCTCGAAAGGCTACTGCGAATGCAAGAAAGAGAGGCGTTTGCGAAAAGTGTCGCGGCATGAAAGTCCGAGTAAGTTTCCAGGTATTTGTTTGAGTCATACTAACTATTTAGTGCATCATGCCAGAAAATCCATACGAGCCATGTGCCAGGTGCTCAAGACTGACGATTCTGAAACGTCCATGCATCAGAGTCAATCTTCACGACCTTCCACTTCACAGACTTGGTATGTTCCTCTATCGGTGATTGACCAAGCTGACCTTGTAGGCTCTACACGCGACAACAAGCTGTACGAGTGGCTATCCATCAAGGATATCATGAACGCAAAGCTGAACATCGACCTCGATCGACATACAATCAAGCTGACTCAAGGATTCGAGTGCGAGGTCGAGGTCACCGTGTCCAAGTTTCAACCCCTACCTGGCGACAAGACTTCGTATCCATGGAAGGACTCTGCAGGGAACCAGCGGATGCTTGAGTTGCCGCACTACTACATCGCTGACATGGACAGTCATCAGAGGGTTATTGATGAGTATAACCAAAAGTCGTACAAGGTGTACATTCAGAGACTCCTCAAAGGAAAGAGTCCCTTGATGGTCTGGACCCTTCAAGAAGCAATCCGCTTCTCGGAACAACACAACAGCTCCCTTGTCAAAGATAGTCTGCGGCTTTGGGCTGGAAGTCGACTGACCGAACTCCCATGGATGATCTGCGGAGAACATACACTAGGTCAGATCCCAGTTCAAGATCTCGAATGTCCACGCAGTGGTACCATACCGATCCCTCCAATCATGGATACACAGATGGACCATTTAGTCATCAAAAACATCATGACTCCCCTTCGTCAGAAGATCCTCGCAGGTCTGCAGAAAAAGATCATGGAGAACAAACGCGAGAATTGGTACGAGATTTATCTCACAACCTTCGTGCTCCTTAGCAACATGGAGCGCCAATTCGCGCAGGTCTTGTACATCATCGACTGGTACGGAATGGAGAGTCGCTTCGGTACAAGAGGAAACTCTTCCGTTAGCGAGTCATTCATTCACTCCTGTAAGACACTACTGGCGTTCTTTCACTATGCTGGCGGAAGTCATAAGCCACTTGCGCTGGACTGGAAAGGTTCGAAAGCACCTCTTGGGATCATGACGCAGCAACAGGCGGAGTATCTGGATAAGACTCAGAAACAAATTGATCGCGAGGGCGAGAACTTGACGGGATTGAAGACGGAGTCGATCTATAAGAGGGATATGTATTGGTGTCATCAGTTGTTACTGGGGGATTGCAAGGTTGATGAGCAGAATGATAGGGAGATTGATGAACTTAAGGAGGAGGACTACATTTTCCACTGAGACGGTTATGTATCTTCTCGACAAATAGGCAATGATTTACCTGTTAGCGATGCTCTGTATGGCATTGTGAACGAGCAGCTTGTGTTGTGACATGCTCATGCATAGGGTGATGTCGTGCAAATGGACAAATCCGTAGTGATTCCAACGCCAACCGAGGGCTCGCATGTTGTTCTGACCACTGGGTAATTATAAAAAGGTTCATTCTAACTCTTGCGAAAGCCTAGAACTAATAAGCACGGTAGCTAGCCACGAGAGGCTCTGACAAACCCAAGGCGAGGGCGGAGTTGACCAATTCTGGCTGCGTCTTGTCTGCATTCTGCGTCAAATCGCCAAAGCTGCTATAACATAAAACTACCTGTACATTTTCCTACATAATAATAATCCACTTGATCCGTCTTCGCTGTCAATCAGTAGAGTGACCTGATACGACGTGGAGGCGCACCTTCCCAACGTCCTGCCAAGCACGTGGAAAGTCCACATGGTGGTTAAGCTTAAACATCCATGGCCAATGACAGAGAGTGCATCGCCCAAAAAGGGATATATACCAGTGCGGAAAGAATTCTACTTCTTGGGAGACGTTGGCAAACGCATTTTACCTCTCCTACTAATGGACCGATTCACTGACCTGGTATGCGAGCCATGGGATTGGATACAACTCCTGTGAGGGGCTCTGTCTCGAGGTTCCGGCACTCTATTATGTCTTTTTAGGTAGACGGCGGTAAACGCGATGGATAGAAGTAATATGAGAAAGCGGCTGTAAATTCGAAACAAAACGTAGTTTTCTATAATTATTCCTTGAATTTGTGGGCACATAATATCCAGCTAAGTAACTGCTCTATTGGGGTCAAAGCCATCGCAAAGCTAAAATTCACAATCTGGAATTGAGATTCAAATACACTAGTTTTATCCCTCAATTAATAATTTCCCACGCAATATACCTTCCAAGTCCTATCTCATTTGTAAGCCTATATGAATACTGTCATTTGAATTCTCTTCTGTCGCTCGCGACAAGCGCAAGCCCTCCTTCAGATCTTGATCGCCTCCAACGCACAAGATAAATGGGCCGCCAAATATTGCGGCGTGTCATCCAATAAACCGAATCATCGACCTTCCTCTACGAGTTGGGTAATGAGGTCAAATAACACCAACTCATGCAGTACATCATGTGCATCATCTCCGAGGCCAAATGAGAGCCAATTCTGACCCGCCAAAAACTCTGCTATCACGTCCGTTCCCTGCATTCTCCAAAAGTCTCGCGCCATCGACACAGCCAGTCCGACCCCAGTATCCAAATACGGCGAGGGACAGCTTTCAGCACTTGGGAATATCGTCTTGTAAATACGCTCCCAGCGCCGTTTGTCGGATAGTTGAGGGTTGTCTTTCTTGGTGAGTCTGTCTCTCTGGTAGAAATTGATGCCGTCTGGTATCTTGAGAGACTGGGTTCTGCATCTTTTCTCCAGGATGTGTCTGTCGCATTTTGACACGCTGTCGAAAGTCTTTGAGCACCTCGGACACTAGGGCGGTCTAGCGTGATGCCGTTTCACATGTCTTTTCACTCTCTCAATGGAGTTGAGTTCATGGTTGATCAGACAGGCGGGATATTTCTTTGGGTTAGAAGCGTGGAAAGGACATTGGTACTGGGTGCGACCTTCAACTGGTGATATAATAACAAATGAATCGTTACTCGGGCGACACTCGCTGTAGCAGATCTGAGCGTAGTTGGTTGGAATCACCCAATCGCATTCATCTCCGCGCTCTTGTCGTGTTCGTCCGTGGTGCGGTAGTTCGGTGTATATCGCTCGCGAGTGGAAGTTGTCAAAATGTGAACGAGCTGCTGGCAGTAAATGCTGTCTCGCCATTTGAATCCTCGGGTCATAAAGCAATCTGCTGTTTTCCCATTGCGTCGACTTGTCCTCGCAACAGAGCTCGTCACCTGAGCTTTCACTGGCACTGTCGTAGCTATTTTCTCTGTGCCTGACGTCGGAATCCCGAGGGCCGTGTCGGTGGTGAAGTCGAGATGTTCTCAACGCATTTGCACTGTACATGGAAGGTTGTAAAGGCCTTAGTGAAAGCGTTTGCATTAATACAGCTCGTCGGGGGCGAAGACTGACCCGTGACGACTATTAATGGCCCGAGAGGGAACAAATTAATGCGAAATGTATGTGACGACTGAGGATTCAATGCAATGTGATTGAAAGATGAAAATTTTCATAGGTAGCCAATGCTCGTTGCGATATGGATGTTCTAGGCGATAGAGAGGGCAACAAGTATTTTGTCCGTATGTGTTTCTTCGTGTCCTCTACGTCCTGGGGGCTGAAGCCTCTTTTAAAACGCTCACCTTACCGCAGCATATCCCAATTGTCAAACTAAACCACTGTGCCAAGCCAATATAAAATAAAGGACAGGGGCCTAGGCAGGGCTTATATTTTATACAACACCAATCAAACATCGACACGTATGCCGCTTTGCAGATAATTTACCGATTCCTGTAATGATTAAATAGCAGTATTTCCCTGTCTTATTTTCCTAGGGATTTTACATTTAGTAATCGCAAGCCAAACGGCGCCTTACCTTACGCCAGTAAATGGGACTGTCCCTGCAACCAGACTTGTAACTCTGCGCAATGGCAGAACAGGACCTTGAAAGAGGAGAAACGGACACTAGTGGTCATGTCCAGGAGGGCCGTCGCCGTCGCCGTCGCCGTCGACGGCAGCGCCGCCGCTACCGTTCCCATGTTTCTGATGTTTCTGATCAGTGTAAGTACAATTTGCGATTACTATCTTGTTTTGCACTTTTCACTCAATGAGGCTACCTTAACCCACCATAATGTCTTTCACGTCATCAGTTAACTCTGGACAGCCCGTTATACGTCGCCCCCGACCTCTAGTACATCGGAATCCGGCCATGCCGATCGCGCCAATTATATCTCGACAGCACAAAAGCAATACATCGAGACGCTGGAGAGGAGAGGCGCTTTAGGATCCATAGAAATGCTCTACCGGCACAACGTGCTCTTTTGCAGGGCTAAGCTTTTTAAGCACTTCGTTCTCAGTAGACATGGTGAGATCAATCTCGACATGTTAGAGACAATGTGTGAGGATTTAGAGAAGTATTGTAAGTATTGAAATTGTTGATTTATCTACGTTATCCGCTGACACGTTTGCATTTTAGCAAGAGCAATGGAAGGCTATCGCAGCTTTCGAGATCGTCCCGGCGCATTCAGGTACAATAAGAATATCATGAGAATGGGTGCGCAGCTTGCAGTGCTGGCGCAGGCCGAGCTAGGCAATCTACCAACTAATCAAGAGCATCCATCGGTGGATATTGAAGCAATAAAGGAAGAAATAGTAAGGTTCTACTGTGACAAAGTGCTGGGTGAGTACGGTACTTTCACAAGTGACACTGGCATACAAACAGAGATTGGGTTGGATAACAAGAATGCTTTTTACGCTCGCTTGCTTATGGCTTTATTTGGCGGATTTGTGCTAGTGGCCCCTATGCTAGTCATGACACTGCATCCTTCACTGCTTACAGGTTTAGTAACAACATCGGTTTTTGTCTTTGCAGTAGCTGTAACCCTTGCTTGGTTTATGACTACAGCGACAGCAAAGGATATTATAGCAGCAACAGCTGCGTATACTGCAGTTCTAGTAGTATTTATAGGAACAGGCGGGGCTTCTAAAGACTGAGATAGCCGAGAACCTCCTTAAACGGGTCTTATTATCAGGTAGTCTTGATGCATACACGCGATAGCGACAACTCTTTGTTTGAATAAGGTTGAGAGGAGAACGGGCCGATTCTCGATGAGGTACTGCAGTTTGAGGTGTTGCAACGTGTGTGAGGCGCGTGATGTGAGCCACCAGCTGTGGGGACTATCAACTCAAAATAACACTCTTTTGAGGTGTTCCAAAAGACGATCCCATTCGGCTATTTTGTATCCAGCGTAGCATTGGTATTTGTGTGGATCAAGCATGAAGAACAGATAAGCAAGCTGTTTAGTAAAAGGCTGGTGGGAGCCAGAGCGTCTGTTCTTCTTGCCAGGGCTTTGTCCATTTCCCTTGTAAATCTGCTATCGCTAAAGCGACTCCCCGCAACAGCGCTGAAACCCTTCTCCATTGGTGCGAACTGCCAGTAAGCCTGACTCAATGAAGGACGTTACTTATGTTCAACCTTTTTTTCCCCCATCGTGCAGGCCGTACAGAAGCATTAACCTAATCAGCATTCCTATCCGTAATCTTCAGGAAGGCCTTATGGAGTTGAAGGCGATGTGAGAATGCTTCATCAGACTGCTATGAAGGCATCCACATCAATACGTCAGCTGTCTTTCGCAGTAATCATTGTCGACTCGACGGGGCTAGAGTTGATGGCAAACTCATATCCATGGCTCCAGCTAACCCAGCCACTGGAGGGGGGCGAAGGGTCAGAGAGCGACATGTCTTTTGCGACCTCGACAGTAAGCCCAGAACTCTCAACGGAAGAATATTTTATGACCTCTTCATTCGACCTAGAGTTTGAACCAGCTTTCTCAACGCCTATACCGCCATTTCAAACGTACGACACAAACTCACAAACACTCAGCTTCGCAGAAGCACTCCTTCTTACGCAAATAGTGGATCATGAGAAAGAAGCTGCGAGTAGCTTTGATGCCGAAACGCAACCACAATACTGCTCTCTTGATATGCTTTCGAATAAGACGCTGCCACCGCGGCAGGGGCTTGTTGATGAAGCTAAGGATTTCACGTCTGTTCATGCATCACAGGCCTGCAGGTATTACGGAATGGATTTGACGGACAGTGTATCAAGTGGAAACACATTTGAACCTTCTTCCGCTTTGCTGTTAACATACGGCAAGAGTAAGATAACTGGCTCTTAAGTCTCTATCTATCTGCTGACCATGTAACAGACAACCATTGCGAACCACCACAGGCAATCAAAGGAGGTCTGCCGCCCTCTAGAGCACAAGCAATAACTCTGGACCCAACTAAAACGTGCATGGGCGACGAAGATGGGAGCACTTGCCCCTTAATGTTTGACAGCGACGATTCCAGTGTGGAGGATATTGAAGTAAGAAAAGCTTTTGCTTACCCTTATTTCCGCCGCGATCCGGTTCGCCATATCGAATGCTTGAGCCGCAAGCTCTACCGTATACAAGACGTCAAGCAGCATCTATATCGGCGCCATTAAATGAGGAGAGACAACCCTTCAGACGCTTCGGATAACACAAGGGGCGTGAATACAAGAACACGGAGCATTTTGAAACTTCGCTTAGATAGAAGACTATCTCCAGAAAGGCAATGGCACAAGATCTGGGAGACTCTTTTTAATCTGAAATTGCCAAGAGAAGGACCTTATCTCGGTGGCTCTAAGGAAGAAATTGTTGGAAGTATGATTGCAGTATGTAAGCAGGGAAGCAGTCGAGTTGTCCCGGGGATATTGAGAAGCCTAGGCCTTTCCAGCGAGAAAAGGAAATCTGTTCAACAATTGATGGAACAGCTTCTTAGCGGCTTTCAAGCGTTATCAGATGAGCGATCAAACGACATGGAGACGGAGGAGACGGAGAAAGCTTCGGCATGCGGTGGCGTTGATTCGATACCAATGACACCACAAGATATGGAGTTTGACTTTGACTTCAACATACCATTGGATCGATCACCCTCGCCAGAGATTCAGAATTCTTACCCTAGCAAAGACATGACGCAGATGCAGGAATCCAGCTCGGTGACACCGACAGAGTTGTCAGACTATTCCACTCTTAAGATAAACAAGGGGGATATCTTAGTGGGGCATCAGTCTACAAAACACATGAACCAAAGCGTCCAGGTGAAGCATTCTTGGCCACCAAATGCTGCAGTTTGCACACCAAAGACATTTGAAAGCTCGGAGATGACTTGTGCTACGAGTAACATCGAGTCGGCCGGGAAGTCACTGACTTGTTTGACTCATGTCCTCGAGGATAGGGAGGAACCCGACCCATATGAGTATGTCGACGCATGGGAATGCCATTACTGCGGATTTGAATACATCTTCATACCTAGCGGAGGGAGCAGCGACAGGTTGTGCTTTAACTACCCATGCTTAGGGCGGCTTCCCAGCTACTACGATTCGGTTTACAAGGCAAGGGTCATCAGAGGAGGTTGAAGGCTTTGTGCTTGTCACAGCCCGATACTGAGGGCGCAATTCCACCTGTATTAAGAAAGTACTAAGTAAAGAAGAGCAAGCTCTTGTCATAATCCCGATGACTCTGCCAATTTCCAGTAACCTATCATGATATTTGAGGAGAGTTGAGTATGAGTAGAAGGAATATTTTTGACTCTAAGCGTCTCCCGACGCTACTGGGAAGGTACAAGTGTCATTACTGTATCATTTCCCAGAGCATGTTAGGAAGTTGTACTGGGCTATATGAGAAGGTGCCGCTCAGCATCCCAGAATGATTGTGCCCATTTCCATTGGTCAGGCGTAATTTCGAAAACGCCATCACAACCTACCCATGGATTCCAGCTGTGCTTCTCTACTGTCCCAATCCTGGAAAGCCCAATACCTTGAACCATGAGAATGTTGGGGTGTGGACTGTCCAGAACGCTTTCAAATGTCCACAGTACAAACCGTACCTGATCTTGAAGCGCCATGCTCTGAAGCTGGAGGAGCATGCCCAGCCCTTGCGTTGTGAGGTAGTGTACGTACTTGTTCACCTCGATTTGTTTGCAGTTTTGGAGTCGTGATTTTCGCCGGTCTTGAGACCTGCCACTAAAAAGGCATGTTTCGCTTGCCTTCAGAGAGCTCATTGTGTTTTGCATCATGGTGCAATGTTGATCGTAAATGTAATAGGCAATTGAGTAGAAAGTTTCCGTGGCCCAGCACACACCTTTGGCACCACAAACACCCGGAGAAAAGAGATGGTAACGAATGTCTAGGTCCCTCGGAAATAGGGGTTGCCCAACGTGGAAGAAGGCTTGGACGTAGCTCTCGAACCGACAGGCGGCGTTGACGAACCTCAGGCGCTCCTCGGAAGAAACGACGGGCCAGTCTTCTGGGCGCCTATGATGTCCAAATAATTCCTCCCGCGCCTGGGAGATATAGCTCGTCGTTAGCCATCCAACATCGGTGGCTAGAGTCGACAGTGCGCAGATGGCCGCCAGCGAGACGCGATGGGACACGTGATGATGAGTATTGCTGCTGTTGATACAAGACCACAGAATCCACTTAATGATGAATTCACGATGCGGTGGCCTGGGATCATTAAACCCGGGGTCCTGCTTGGCATGGCGGAGTCGAGCCGCAAGCAAGTAGGCAGTTGAGACAGGACCCCCACAAAATTCCAAGATCTTAGTCGTATGCGGCGTCATCACTTGCTTCCTGTTGTCGAGAAAGCAGTGTAATAACCAAGGATGGGCGTGAGTCATGGCGTAAATATCCTGTGGTGTATCGACATATTTCATGATCGCCACTGCGAGCTCGACGGGTAGATCCTGAAAACCGACCATGGTGGGCGTTGTTGAGGAAAGGAATGACTGAGGTTGGAGGTGAGGGGCAGACTTCGGGTGCTTATATAGTTGGATAATAAGCTTTCAAAACTTGTCACGCTGTGGGCTACGGATAACCTTTTTGCAACGAAAACTCTTTATTTGCAGCTGAGACTTGTGGCTGTGAGCTTATTCCGGCAGAGAGAACCTAGCGACCAAAACTGTGTTATTTTTACCGAGCGCCGAGTTCTATCTGGCCGAGTGGCAGAGGTCGATGACATCATCAATTAACCAAGACTCTGACATCGTGGGTTGTTTAATCTCATGTAGGCAATTATAGGTTCCCATTATTCTTGAAGTAAGAAAGTAAAATTACTTGCACCTTCGGAATACCATAGGGGGGCACTTCGAGTCAAAGATATTCCTTCTACACATGCTCAACTCTCCTCAAGCATCATCACCACGACCGACATCATCGCTACAATTATCAGTACAGCAAGGCGCGGCGTTCTTTTAATCGCATACCAATTACTACACAAAAATTAATCAACATGTCTGATCCGACCATGGCTTTTCAGCCAAAAGTTTGACATTACTGCCAGAAATCATCCGACGGGCGTCGAGAAACCCTGGAACTCTATGCTAAGGGATGACAAGATTTAGGTAAATTTAGCATAACTTAAGTAGAGACTTAGGATAACTGAGACTAGGCACTTGGGGTCAGCCAGAGTTCGCAATACCAGGGCACCATGTTCACAGAACATCCTCATTTGCTTTAGCGCGGGCAGAGATAGACCTTTCGGACACTTGGCATTCGACGACCAAGGATCTAGCGTTCCCTGCAGTGTGTAGAATTGTCGCCGGTACCGTTCCAGAATATTGACGTAGTTGCTGTATAGCTTGTACGTGCGGTAGGCTGTGACTGCATCTGTCGTGGGGCCATCGTCGCTGATATCGGGTTCTGAGCCGTATGTTGCCATGCGGCGAAAGTCGTACTCCTAGGTACTCAGATGACAAGACGGCAAACACATACAATCATTCATAGGTGTCTAAGTTCTCTCTGCTGATTTAAGTTCTCAGCTACAGGTCTCAAATGCAAATACCAACACATCTAGCTCTCGAACACTATCATTACAGACCCCACTATCCTTTTAGCCTTTCACGGCTCTTACACTCAGCTAAACCTTCTATACTTATAATATTATATTGTCAGGACTTAAGCTAGAGATAATATGCTTGACGATCTGCCTCCCCCTTACGATATCGCATTTCTCTCGTCGTTAACCTAATAAAGTGCTAGCCTCACCCACTTCCGATTTCTTGTTATCGAGACATTCTCCTGTTCTAGGTTCTTTCCCCTTTTCAGTTTCGGGCGCTTTGCTGACGTCATCTGACTTGCCAACACTCGTACTACATTTACTCGCACGTCCTAGCGCGGGTTCGGCATCGAGCTCTGAAATAGGGTCCTGGTTTGGCTGAATGGTTTTGAATATAGGCTTTGAAGGATTCTCTGCCTAATCATCTATTAGCTCGAGTCTCTTCTTATTCTCTTCAAGATGACTGGACGGTTCTGCTACATCTCTTCGCCTATGATCAGTGTGGGTTGATGCTCTGCTCATAACTTACACTTTCTCCGAGTTTCCATCCAAATTTGAGTGCTGCTCCTTCATAGTTCTTTGTCGTAGAAACCAACTGGAAAGCCTCTCTCTGCTGGGGGCTGTTACTCTATTGATGCGTCAGCTTCGGTCTCCTTTTCGAATCGGGTTTCGCCTTTCATTTCGTAAGTCAGGGACCCATTCTCTATCGTTTATATTAGTCTGCTATCTTCTTATGACTTACTTTTCCATCAGATTTCTCATCAAAGTTGAAAATCGCCGCTTTTGCAGACTCTGCGCCTGTTGCCAATTCAACCGTCCCTTTCTTCTGCCGTAAAGCTAAAATAGAACGCTTGTTTGGTTTCAGATATTTATCAATACTTTCCACATGACTCTTCAAAAATATGCTCTCCCTAAACTTTTTCAATAGCAGTATCCGAATTTCTGGCTGGCTTTGAAGGAGTGTATCCCAATCTGAGGATGTACCGAGCAATTTGTCTGGACTGCCAAAGTGTTCCACGACAAAGTGCATATAGAAGCTTCTCAACTGTGAGCCGGGAGAAGTGTTACTAAACACGTATCGCACGTCATCGGAGGTCATAGGTCGTCCGAAGGTTGGTCTTGTGTGGTGTTCATGAAGACGACGCATTGCGCAGTTTTGGAATTCGATAGATCGAAGCTTGTCCCCGAGAACCCAACATTTGGCATCAGCATTATAAATCGATACTACTGAGGGAGACTCATAGCTTCCATAATACATCCATTCCACAAAAAGGCCAAATACTTCAGGTGGATAGCCGTGAAGTCTGATTCGCTTATCGGATTGCTGAAGACTCAAGGAGTAGGTTTCTTTCAGGTAAGGCGAGTAATGTGAGACCAAATTTATGGGAAGACACCATGTCTTGAAAGACTTTGTTTCATCACAGTTTGAGAATGGTGTTGTTGTTCCAACTTGGATCTCCACTCCGCTGCCTTGAAGTCTGATTGAATTAGCTTTGTCTCAATTCATGTCGTAGTGAACATACAGTTGAATTTTGCCCTTGTCGACCAAAGTCTCTTTGATCAAAGGTTTCGAGCCGGTCGCGAAAATGCTCTGAGCATTCGGATTGGCATTGTGTGCAGCATTACGGCCCTTGTCGTGCTCATAGTCCTCAAGCCTATGCTCTTCAAGGCTGAAACTTCTATAATCCGGATGACAAGGAAACGCTTTGTATTCCTCCCAAGATCCATTGTCTATGCGCTCTCGTATGGGGTCGGTAGGTAATGGCTTGTCCCACGTACCAGGTTTGGCGGTTTTGGCGCCTTTCATTGTCCATTAGTATATACAATTTACACGCATATAGCGTTCAAATTCTTACCCTTCTGGCTAGGAACAGAGCCAAAAGCAAAGCTGTTCATTGTCAAAGATCATTAGTGAGACAAAACATTACTGTCAAAAGAGGCTTACCTCATTTTTTATTCTGCTAGCTGCGACGTTACGTAGCAAGGTATTGAGTGAGTGTGAGGAGTATGAGAGATTTTTATGGTCTAATACGTGGCACTTGGAAAAAAAGACACTGCCTTTATCTCTCCGCCTTGAGGTCAGAGCGCTATGGCTGAAACACGTGAAACGCTCTCAATAACCGCCAAGCAAACCAATCAAAAGATAAAGGCTAATTTAGGATGGCGGTATCTAAAGTGTTATCCGGAACCCCTCTTTTAGCAAGTAAAATTTCAACGGTCTAGCTCTGTTATCTCCTACCGCTTTGTTTTTCCTGTTGGTTCTTCCCCAGCTAATTATGCAGATTCCATAACCCCACCTTGGCAGGCCTCTTGTTGGTCCTGTTATGGTTTCTCTGCATCTAAGTGCCGCCAATACCTGTCTACCCTTGAGGCGAAGGCTTTGAGAATGTGACAGGAATACCGAGGTAGAGAATCACAAGTGGGTGATTTATAATACTGCGATAAGAGATCTTAACAGACATGCTACGCTTTTGAATCAATGCCCAGTCGGTACTCCTTGATAATATACTCTGAGGCTACTAGTATAATATAGCGTAAATCCGAGTCACGCCTTTTCTTTTTATAGCCTTTTTATGGAATAACGGGATTTGGCTCTAAGGTTATTTATCTTCTGTTTTAACTAACCAGCACACTCAAGTAATAACAGTTAAGATAATGCTACTAAGTCTACACCAGACTATACTAAACCCGCCTAAGTCTTTCATAACTCAGGACAGAAATTCTAGATTTTCCTGTTTGTCCTGGACTATCTGCTGACCACGAGGTTAAACTTCTAACCGCTAAGACATAAAGTTCTTCACATACAACTTTTATTCATAATAACACATATATAAGAGAAGACCTTAAATTTCTTTCATGCTAGCAAATTTCAGCCATAGAGCTTAACGCCAAATACAAACAGATCTAATTCCACAATCCTGTAGTTAATAACTATACCATCGCTTAACCTTCCGCAGCTTTTGCACTCCCAAAAACCTTCCGTCCTTATAGTACCACAGTGTCAGGACTCAAGCTGGAGATGACATGTTCGCGCCAATAACCAATGCTCGCAATCAAGGCACCGGGTCCAGCCAGCCCCAAAACACCAACGGAAGCCAAGCCTCCCAGCACAGCCTGCTTTGTTCTCACAAAACCGAGTGAGCGCAATTCCCAGACAGCGTACAGCGAATATACCAGACCCGAGGCTGCACTGATAATACCTGTATTTTGGCTGAATGATGCGGCTCGAGATATGGCTGAAAGCGTCCCGTCGGTGGTTGATACAGCTTTGGCGATGACGGGGCCAGCCAAACAGAGAGCAAGCGCAATGCCATGAGAGAACTTGAGAGGCTTTACATCCTCGTTCGTATACACTTGGAGTTCGGATGGGGGAGCATAGTTGATAGGCCTGTCTTCAGACTTCGTGTCGGGTTCCTGTTGTCCTCTGCTGGTCGTTTTGCCGCGGATAGCAGCGAGTCCTCTAGCGAAGACCGCACAAAGCAAAGGGCATGCCTGCCACACTGCCGCAACATAGTGCCTGGCTTTTGCATCTTTGATCGGCAGTAGTGCTGCCACCGTTGGTGCCACGTATCCGAGTAGAACGCCTGGAACAATGGACTTGGCGATCTTGGGATCGACAGGTCTGTGGATAGTGGACTTGGTGGAGAAGAGGATAGATGACAGACAGAAGAATGGTAGCACCGAGTTCGGACCGATGAGTGAGTATATGAGCGAGTAGACCGTTGTCCTGTTTGTGTTAGCGGTTCTGTGAAGGATCCATCATAAGGTTTATACGAACCACGACAATGGATTGAGTGAATTTCCTCGCCGAGAGCCCTCGATGAGCCAGCCCGAGAGAACGGGGACCAAGTTGGCCAGGCCCGCCACCGAGGTCTGCCCAACTACCTTTCCCAAGAGCCCTCCAGAGCCCCATTGTTGAAGAACCCTATAGAGGACTCTTGTCCCAGATCTAAGGTCCTTGTTCTTGAGCGCAGCAAAGAGCGACAGTCCAAGAGTGCCGGTTGCTAGAACCCAGGGGACTCGCCTAGCAAGACCGCCCTTGATGGGTTTCGCAGGTAACTCGTCCTCAAACGGAACAAAGTGAGGTCTTTTCGGGACAGGAATACCTTGAATCCTTGTAGCCTCGCAGCAGATCGGGGTGACGATGTCAATAAAGGCGCTTGGGCCAAAGAGCGAAATAAGAGGTTTGAAGATGAAACGAGCCAATGGGAACCGTTGGCTGATCATCATTTGAAGCGAATGTGCTTGTTCGACCAGTCGTTTGGCACGCTCGTAGCGGAGCGCGTGGACTTCTGATAGTGCAGTATCTGTCTGAGAGTCTGAAAGGCCTTCGGGGCTGAGCTTGAGCTGACGAACCAGGGCGTTAACGAGCAGTGCGGCAGACTCCATGGCTCCGTTGCCGCCTTGACCAGATGCAGGATCAATCTTTGAGATATATTAGCTACGCGAGAAATGGTTGATTGTGAACCGGCATACCTTGTGAGCTGAATCTCCTATGGTGACGATACGCTTGTAATGCCATCGATCAAAGACATACTCCTCAAGTGGAACTAGTGTCGACATGATCTTTCGGTCATACAACTCGCCAAAAGTGACGTCCTGGGTGATGTAATCTCCATGATGCGCTTTCACCAGTCCTTCTTCATCAGCCTTAGTGTACTTAGAAATGTCCTTCCCACGCTTTGTCTCTGGGAGACCATCGAAGAGGAACCAGTATGTTCGGTCTCCTGGTGCCGCTATGATTAGATATGCGTGGCCATCACCAACCACCGTCTGTTGGCTTCGGTAACCCAGAGCAGAAGGTCGTTTCGAAATTCCGAAGATGCACCTTGTCGATACTGGAACTCCTACAGAACATGTGAGCGACAAAGACACGGGATGAAGTGATACGTACGAGAGTTTTCGTCCTCGGGGAAGTATCCTGGACTCTGCTCCTTTCCTAAACGCCACATTTCGTCTCTTACTGCGCTGTGGATGCCATCTGCTCCCACGACGATGTCGCCCTCGTACACCGAGCCGTCTTGGGTAAAAGCCTGGACTCCACCATCAACCAACTCCACTCGAGTAACCCGCTTTTTGGTCAACACCCGATCTTTATGCTTCAGATTCTTGTGCAAAACCTGCAATAACATCTGTCGATCGATGAAGATAGAGGGATAGCCGACCCTTGTCTCGAGGTTAGTAAAGAGGCACTCCGCAAACAATATGTCAAGATGTTTCCTACCTTTTCTCAAAGTGAACCGAGAGGCTGGTCGGTGAAGCAGCGGCAAGTGGGAGACCATCGGGCCCATACATGCCACCAATAGTGTAGCGACAATCCCCAGCAATGTCGAGGATAGGCTCGAAACATCCAAGTTGGTCGAGGATGCGAAAGCCGCTTGGTAGAATGCCGATGCTAGCACCGACTTGAGGGGCTATTTGAGGATATGCTTCGAGGAGGACATAGTCTATGTCGAATTGCTCAAGCATGTTGGCGACGGATAGGCCAGCGACGCTGCCACCGACGATGATGACTCGGAATCCCATGGTTATGATTTGTTGAGGTGTAGTTCTTGATGATTTGAGTGCTTGTTTTCAAAAAGCATGAGATCCTTATATATATATAGTGATCAAGGCGCAGAGGCCTCTTGAAGAGGTTTTCGGGTTTGATTGTGTCCGTTGCCCGAAAAATGATCGACATCAACTAGAGTCCAAGCTTCAAGTTGCCCCAGACCGGCCAAAGAGAATTACGGATCCGTGTTTCCACTCTCCCTTACTAAGCGGAGATATCAGCAAATGCATGAAATTACGAGTATTCGGGATGTCACAAACGTGTTGAGAAATGACAGGCTATATCTCTATAAGCCTCCTTAACACTGCTTACCAGCGCGCCATATGAGCCCGTTCGTCGTCTTCTAGTGTCAAGTTGTCGCGCTCGAAATAGCCAAACCTTACCATAAGCAACAACTGCCGGCTCTTGGGCTACACTAGCTTCATTCCGGGAGTGCCAATAAGAACCGGCGTTGTCTCTGGTTGTTGCCAGCTTCTTTACTTATGTTCACGTATATGGATGGGGGCTTGCAACCTGTGATACGAACCGACTACTAAGCATTGTCGCCTATGGTGAATGTGCAAAAAGGGCCTCTTATTCTTGGTAGCATCTTATTGACTTCATAACTATGATGCTTCGATCACATGAAGGGTACAGCTAAAGATAGGATCTATACCCCTCCCCAGGCTGCCAATGTGTTGTCAACTCTGTCCTGCACTACAATTCCCCATCATCTACAAAGGAATCTTAACTGCTCCAATCTGTACAAGGATCCCAAATAGGTCAGGTAACCCCTGCTCTTTAACAATCTTCCCATCCGCGAACGTAAAGAGGTTCATTCCAACAATTTCGAAGCCTTTTCCAGAGGGCGGAAATCCCATGAACGGACCGGTCTGGGTGCCACGGGTCTTCGAACGCAGCACCACTTTGTCTCCTTCTGTGATTATCTGCTCGACGCTCCACTGAATATCCGGAAAGGCGGCACGCATCATGCCTAGCATTTCGAGATATCCGCTGACGCCCTTCAAGGGTTTTTTGTCGAAAGGGACGTGGAATTCAGCTGACTGGTGGATGACTTCATTGCCAATAGTGGCATCAGCTGTGTTGATGAACTCGACGAATCGGTGGATAGCTTGTGAGTGAGACATGGCTGTGTGGTTGCAGAGTTTGGCTAAAACGCAGGGTGCAGGGGGGAATGTGATAGAAAATCTGTCTTTGTGTATTATTCACTTAAATAAAGGTTTTCATAATCTAGCATCTACCTACTCAGTGAACTTATATATTGGTCTAGAACTCTATTTGAAAGTGTTTTTGCAGAAGTATTATCCATCTTATCCCGGTGACTAAGCGGGCTCTGTGGTCTGCATGGTCTGGAGGCCATCTTGTTCGAGCGGGACTAGCAAACCCCCGATCCGCCGACACCCTAATTTGCCGAGGTTTGAAGCTAACTCAATATGTTCTGAACGCGTTTCGTGTAGTGCACATTCGTATTTCTTCCACTTGGCAATCTATTGAAGATTGATACGGAGTCTTGCAAATCGGCCTCTCTCTCCTTCGCACCTTGGTCAGAGTTGCTTAAGCTTAGAAGATCTGTACAAGCCGTCGGGAGGTTGGCAAAGCCCGCAGTGCCGCTTATATGGCGAGTCGTTCTGCAACAAAGCCCTATGCACCAGATCATGGGGAAGGTCCTCCGTCCAAGAGTCTTCGTCAGGGCAGGGCAGTCATAGTCGCTGGCTCAAACACGGGATCGGGCTTCGAAGCGGCCAGGCATATAATCACGTGGACGGCTGCCGGGCTGACCATAGCGGTGCGCTCCACTGAAATGAAGCCGCCAAACGGGTCCTTTTAGAGTCTGCGGGCTGTGATCTAGCCATTCCGGAAGTCTAGCCCTTGGATCTCGCGATCTGTGCCAGCGCCAAGGCATCTGCCGCGCACACAATGACCCAGCTGCCCCAAGTAGATAAAAGCGCGGGTATCACCTCTGGAGAGCGCTCAGAGGATAATTGTAACGAGAGCATGATGGCTTCCAACGTCATGTCGATCGTCTTGGTGGCTTTGTTGGCATTGTTACTTCTGCCGAAGCTCAAAGGGAATGCTGCTTGTCACAACACGAAACCTAACTTGACTATTGTATCGAGTGGCATACACTACGCAGTCGATTTCGATGGGAAGGATGCCCCCGAGGGCATTTTTAGCAGCCTGAATGGCAAGGAAGTGGATCGACGTGGCCAGTCGCTCTCCAATCACTGAGCTTTTAGAGGTGTTCGCTGTGCGCGAGATAGGCGCTCGGAGACCAGCAGAGCTACGCCCACTCACGACTGGGACCACCAATCCCAGTTAATACAGCAGCAGACTGGGAGGTGGCGAGAAACGCTTGCTGCTCGAAACCCCATCCTTCTGGTAGCGCGTCTGACTGATGTTAGCTCTTGGAACTTGGTTTAGGGTACTGCGTGACCAATTCCTCAACAGGGATACATGCTGCAGGTCGTGGGGGTAATGCCACACGGGAAAAGGTGTGGAATGAGCCCTCGGGGTGTCAAAAAGCGTCTGACGCGGGAATCATTATTCACCATACAAAATTAGATCTTCACGTCAGACGTTTTCTGACACCCCCTTGTGAGCTTGTAGACAAGTTCGAAAATATCTAGTCAGGAATCATAAAGTAATCGATGAAATGCATGTTATCTATATTTCAAATGGCACGAAGATGTAGATCTCATGTAAAGCCTCGAGCCAGCCTTGGTTGTTCCCATCATCATTCTGTTAAGCTCTCAGAGCTCAGGCTTCGAGGTAGTAGGAAAGAATCTCTAGTGCCCAAGGCATTTAGTTAGCGTGGACTTTTTCGTACGTCAATCCATAATCACTTCACGGCCTTACCAGAGCGTTAGGTCCTGCGCTATGGACCTATCTGTTTCTCTACGCCAGCTTCTTAAGACTCTGATTGCTTAATCTCTCTCGGTGTGAACAGTAGAGCTAACTACTCTGAGCATAGTTAGAGTCTGGATTGATCTTTCGTCAGCCCAGGCAGTAGCGTAATATTAGCTTTGTAGCTACTTCCAAAAGGGCCACGCCCTTGAATATCTATCCCTTGTTCTAAGCCAACTCTAGACTAGGAGCAAGTCTCTCAACTTTATCATGCTCTAAGCCTCAAGAACAACAACAACTACAAGATGCTATTGGCTAAGAGAGAATATCGCTCAGCTCCGATCAGCAGCTCTCTAGGTTATTAAGTAGGATAGTAGATCTATAGAAGCTGAAAAAAAAAGATTTTCCTTGCTCTCTGGTAGATATGTATCCACATCACTGTGTATGCTTAGCTTAGATAATAAACCCCTCTATATACATGCTTTTTATAATTATAGTTAGCTAAGTGAGCCCCTGGTCTAATGCTCTACTTATCTTTAAAATTATATTATTCCTATATCTCTTCTATAATATTTACTACCTACCTTGTGTTATATTACCTTGTAATCAGTAACAGGATGGAAAACCAAGGACATAACCTTGTTATTATTAATAGTGTTTTCTTTTTTATTTCCCTAACCTCCCTGTTAATACGCTGTTATTTACGGTTGTTTGTCGTTAAGAAATTCTCTATCGATGATTATTTTATCATACTTGCGGCTGTAAGTTACATATCAGATGCTTGTTAGCTGGTGTTTTATAACAATCAATAGTCTTTCTTTGCTCTTAGTGCAAGCTTCTCTACTGTAGCTGTTAAGTATGGACTGGGACAGCATCTGCAAGACATCGAGATACATAACGCCTTTAATGCCATCAAGGTAGGCATGCGTTTGGATCTTATTTAATTATTGCAGGTCGTTTCTAATAACTTATTGCAGTATTTATGGCTCTGTTGCCTGTTTTACTACTTCGCCACTGTATCAGCTAGGGTTACAGTATGCTGGTTCTTGCTTACTGTAGCCGTGAGCAGCCACCAAATAATTATCTACTTCGCAACAGCTGCAGCCACTTTCTCTGGCACCTTTCTGTTTTTCATGACTGTATTTCAATGCAGCCCTGTCTCTTACTTCTGGGACAAGACTCAGATTGGAGTATGCATTGAGATTGATCTGATGGTTATGGCTGCTATACTGTACAGTGTAGCGGCTATAATATCAGACTTGGTTACTGCAACTCTGTCTACTTATACAATTTGGAACCTACAGCTTGACATGAAAAAGAAGCTATTACTTATCCCTGTTATGTCTATGGGTTGTGTGTGAGTTTCTCGCGTACTGACTTTGAGGTCATCGTGCTGATGTTGCTCTAGGTCTTCTATAGCAGTGATTGCGCGGTTGCCTACTCTTGTGAAACTGAAAAGTCCTGACATTCTTTGTATGCCCTATACCCTTCCTCTTGCCCAATTAGCGGTTAACCATTTTTAAAACAGGGAACGCTATAGACTTAGCGATGTGGTCAACTGTTGAACAAGGATTAGTTGTTACAGCATGTTGTCTTTCAACCTTTGGGTCTTTACACTCGCGGCCTGGGGATCGATCACGACCCACCGACAGGGAATCTGAGATACCACCGATTATTCTACCTGTTGTTGAGCCCGGTGATCACTTCACACGACACAGCCAAAGTTTTGGATCTACCGGGCCTACTGCAGTTACCAGTTCTGAAAGCCATGGTACAAATCACAGTTCCCTGGAACTTCCTGGTACAACTGTGATAGACATATCACCACTGGGAATTTACAGAATGGAAGATCTCGATGAGTATGAATATGATGATGAGATGGTCGAATTTGTTCATGAAGGAATTACGAGATGTTCTAGCTCTATATTTGACCGGAACATAAGCTAAGATCGCCAGAAGGACGGCATTCCAGTTGCAGGTGGTCCGGGGGCCTCTGAAGTGTAAAGGGACTCAAAAGACCGTTCTCTAGAAGTTCGAAGCTCATATCACATCCTATGTTAATAATTGGAAGTCTGGCAAGACGTCTAGACGCATCTTCAGTGTTAGATTGTCTCAGTTCAATATAGGTGGCGTCATTCGAGGTGAAACTTAATGAATTGCTCAATACATCCATGAGGATGTTTCGCCGAATTGCGATGGAATGTACTTGCCAATTTCCACGAACACCGGGTTTGAACTTGGCCACAATCTTGACATGATCGCTTGTCAGATCGGATATTTGTACTGTTTGGCCATGCGACAGTTTCTGGCTGGCGACCATCATGTATATCAAAAGAGGGAGATCGACGTCGGGAAATATGCTCATCATGCTTGCCTCAACACTTTTACTGAGGCAAGAGAAAGACATGGCTGTGCGCGCCGTTGTATGTGTAGTCCGGTTCTGTTACGATCGATGGGGTGAAAGCAAGATACAAGAGTCTGCCATCATTGTTACAGGCACTCGGGGGGCAAGACAACGCATGAGAGACTATAATATGATCTTATGACCACATAGAGAAGGTTCATTTGGGCACCACGGACAATCTATAAGATTCATCTTGTCTGGTATCTAAAATAAAAGAAGAGACCTGCTCTGTTGTCTCGATCAAGGCTAAGTTGCATTCAGTCTCTTGTAGGATTGTAGAGTCTAGGCTTCCAAATACCAAGAGAAGTCGTTCAGTGCCCAGGTTCCTTGATCGCCACTCTTTCTGCTCCTCTTCAGATCCTTTCGTACCTCAATACATGATCGCTCAGTCATCGTTACTAATGCGTCAGGTCCTGCGCCATAGACCCATCCGTTTCCGCGAGAATCAGCTGCCATAACGTCGCGCGCCTCAAAAGCGTCCCTAAGTATCAAGGCAGTGTCTAAGCGCCCATTTTCAGAGCTTATATGTGACCTCATGTCGAGGTTGCTGTTGGTACTTGCCACATCCACGAGATCTGCCCACTCCTTGATTTCGACTGAGTCTCTGGTACGCACGGTCCAAATCAAGGTGAACCGACTACTCACAGGCCCAGCGTCCAGCCACCAACGTGCTAGACTAAGAGCTCCCGTAACACCTGTCCCGCCAACAATGCACAGGATGTGAGATGCATTGATATAGCCGGCATCCTTGATGCGATAAGGTCCCTCAAGTCAAACTTCCAGATCTCGGCTGTCTTGGATATTGGGCACCAGAGCTCCCAACTTCCAGGTCCATTCTTTGTCAAGTCTCTTTCTAGGCTTGCCGCTCGCTCGTTGTATCAGGAATCTTTGTCCATGACTAGTGGAAGCCGAAACGGCAGCTGTGAAAGCATGGATCTGGAACTTGCTAACCGCCGGAGCATTGAGATAGTAATACAGTAAGGGCTCGGAGGTTGGTACGGGTTTCTCCATGATCTGTTGTGGGGTGCTCTTCGCAGGAAGCGAGATTCTGATCCAGCTACCGCCTGCATTCTCGAGGGTGGCGACGGTCTTTGTACTCAATCCATTGGTCTCTCCGAAAAATACTCTTCTCACCCAGTCTCCTACCCACAACAACAAACCAGGGAGAAGAAGATAGAAGTCGGTACTGGCATGGATATAGGATGCAACAAAGATTATAATGCCACAAATGACGTGAGTGTAGTAGAACAAGTTGTAGTGTTGGCGACGAATATACTTGAGTGAAGTGACGAGGATGGCCAAGATCGGCAGGAAGACAGCGATTCCAGTGTATGTGGTCTGCACGAACCAGGGGCTTCTTTGTTTACTCTCTGATAAGGTCATTGTTGGATTTCCTGTTGCTAAAGCCTCTTCCTTGGTTTTATCTCCTTCGCTGCTACCATCCGTAGCATAGACCTAGATCACGTCAGTGGTTGCAAAAGAACGACAATGTTGCGCTGAAAGCTCACAATGTATGTAATCCCGTGCGCAGCGACGGCAATTGAGAACAGATAAGCAATGATTCGATGGGCGAAAAGTAATGTGCCGCGATGCACAGAGAATGCCTGTCCAACAAGGCTATTTCTCGATACAGGTATAATCAGAAGGCCAAGAAGGCCGTCGGCATAATGTCCCGTTACACCCGTAATGGTAAGTTGAATCTTGGCGGACACCCAACTCAAACCGTTGAGGCGGCGTCCCCAGAAATCCCAGTGTGTTGGAAACCAGTATATAGTCGGACCAAAAGTCATGACCAGTATCCATATGGTCATGAAAGTCTCTCCAAGAGTGAACCGGTTACCCACGAGATGTACCCCAGCTAGCAGGCGGATATTGGTAAACGATCGAAAAGCAGGACTGTATTAACGAAGGGCAAGAAGACAAAGAGTAAGTGACAGGAAGCAATAATAAACAACGACATGGAGACGCGTCTCAAAAGAGAAATAGTCCTCGGGGCACACAGTGGCATAGCAAGGAAAGCGTATCATGACCAGACTAACTGCCGCGGAGGCGAGTATCGCGACAATCAAGGCCATAACTTGGAGATATCTTCTCATGTTGGTGTTTGGGGTTCGGGGTCTAATTTGATAGAGGAGAAGAGAATGATATAATATCGAGAGAGTTCAAGTCTAGAAAGAGCCCTTTATAGCGAAAATAAACAATTAAGCTTACTTCAATTCTTTATTTTTAGCATTGCGCGATCTGATACTATCGGAGGCGGGCTTTAAGCAAAAAGCCCGACTCTGGAAATTGACCGGGTGGCTTAGATCTATCCTGCGAAATATTCACTGAATTTGCCGATTAAATAAATATGGAAGACAATAAGCACTAGCATCACCCTGAGCCCCGATTGCGCGTCTTGACCTTTTTCTCACTTCTCTAATTCATTAAAGCTCATTCCGGACTTTTATCCTAATCGCCAAATGGTCTTCCCCTGACCAATAGTAGAAGGCGTTTCAAAGCGATGTCACGACTTTATCAGAGGATGTCTGAACGGCCTCTACGTAAAGGCGAGAGCTCAAGAGTAAGCCTCGAATCAGGGAAATGTTTATCATAGTGTTCGTATTATGAAGTGAGATTCTTGTAGACTGATTGTGTATCCATCACATAACTTCATTCATTTATTTAGTCGGCAAGTTCAATCAATATCCTGCAGGATAGATCTAAGCAACTCGGTCAAAATAATGTATTAGCTTTGGGATAGGTTCATCGCGGCTGATTGAAGCTCTCAGCCACAATGTATTAGGTGGTCGTTTTAGGTGGCAGCATGTCCAAGACAGTCAGTCATCCGACGCGTTTCCCCAGACGCGCTTTCGTTTAGATAAAGGCTTTAACTGATAAGACGGACTAGAAACTGGGGCGGAGAATATCGTTTCGTAAGCTAAAGCGTCAGCTAATTCGTAAGCTAAGCCATGAACAGTAGGCTAAGGAGGCACAGCAGCGTTGGATCTGAGTGCCGCTGTATTGCCATGTCTCCTTTTAGCATGGTTCAACAGAGGTTCAAGTTCTAAAATTCTAGATAGAGAAAAGCCCTCGCGTATCTCATAGTTCACGGTATAGCAGATGCTTCAGGGACAACGCATGTCGCAAGCATGTTAGAGCTTGAAGAGCTGAGAGAAGCAATACGCCACGCCTTTCGTGACATCACCGTGCGTTCAGTCCCTTAGTGAGGCAAATCGATTCCTCAAGTGGCCCTGGTCTACCTTTGAGAATACCCAAGATTGTCAAATCAGGGTACAAGAGACTGAGCATTATGGAAGATAGTCAATCGGTAGTGGAATATCAACGAGGGTCTCTGAAGATTGGTGTTTCTTCTCGTAGGTTTCAGTAGGATTCAATAATAAAATTCACAGGATGATAAATAAAGAAGGGGCAATTGAGTCGAAGTGATGCTTGAGTTAGTCTTACAAAGGATTTTGAGCACTACAACAAGCAATGGCTGCCTCACTCAATGAGATTATCGCACTTTTTTAACAGAGTCTATCTCAATGCTGAGATCTATACTAACTTCTCACTATATCTTATGCCTTGCTCGTGGAGGATTCCCTGAGCAAAGAACTTTACTTAAATCCCATCATTCATGTACAAGTATGCTTCTTGTGAGCCCGATGGTCCGATACAGTCCATCTCACTGTCGCTATCCTCGAAGTTAACGTGGCTCTTGCTTTACGCTTGCCTGGTTGTTGTATTTCAGCATTGGTGCCTAGAGTTAGTTTTCTATAAGCTCGGACGGAAGGCCAATGAGCCATCGCTCGCAGAGTCATACCACTTCGGGATCTCGCGAGTTGTGCAAAGTGGGCTGTCTACAAAGCGGCCACAAAGCGAAATGAGTGTGGCGTGCGCAAAGCAACGGGAGCTCCCGCCGGGAACGAGGCAAGCGGATAGTTGCTGCAAAGTAGAGTCTAGACCACTTAGAAAAAGCAAAAAGGCTTCGGCAATTGGTCAAGCCGTAAGGACATCTGCAGGCGGCTAATAGTTGGGGAAGCAAAAATGTTCCGGATAGCTAGTCTAAGTGTCAGAAACACTAAGCACCTTATGGTAAAGCTCTACTATTTAAGATGAGCTGAAGAGAGTTTCAATGCCTTTTTTTTCAGTCTGCTTGGAAGAGATCAAAAACCATTTTGGTGCCGCGATGAAGTTCCTGGCATTAGCTCCAAGTCCCCATATATCCACTGCCACTACTCCATTGACAACAAACTAATCTTATCCATGATCCTTGTATCTCATTCATTCCATTTGCACACCAGAAGTTCTTACCTCTTCCCTCCTTTCTGGTGATGTGGTTTTAACCGGCAAGAACTCTAGTCCCTCTCGAGGTAGCCAGTCATATTAACATTGAGTCCAATGCAACTATGAGATCTACAATACGAGCTCAGCTAGCTTCACCCTTGTTAGCTTCAAGTGACAATCTTGACGGTTCGAGGCTGGTTGGAAAAAGGTGCATGGTCTTGGCAAGAAAGTCCAGGCATCAGCACACGATGCATGATCATGATTCATGTATAGTCCTCAAGACCGTCACGAGACCTCGACAAATCGGAAGGTGACTAACAAAAAACAAGATTCTGCGTCTCTGAGGTTTGTGATCTAATCTGAGGCTTGAAAATAAGGCCTTCCATCTCGGAAAGAACTACTGCTGTATCACCGTGTCATCACACCGATTCAATTTGCCTGCCTTGGTCTGTCACCCCGTCGTACAAGCCAAAGCCTCAAGGTCGTGGCGATCGACGATCACTTCGGTCAATACGACGTTGTACTATGGTAAAAGATTGATATCGATTTCTGTACGCCGATGAAAGCCATTCTGCATATTGCAGATCTTGAAGGAGCTGAAACATTTAGTGATAATATAGGTAGTGATCTCCAAGAGATTAGGTATTCGAGCAAGTGGCTGAACAGGTTCTGTTACCCTATTGGGTCCCTTTGACAGGTAACGAGTAGGAGGGCAGTAGGGACATCGCGTGCAGACAGACTATCAGACCGAGTCAAGCCTGACTGACAAATCGTGAGGCTGGTGGATATTTGGAGTGGTAATACAAACTCCGTAAAAACACGGAACTTCTTATCAGAGTATGTAAAGTGCAGATCACTCTTGTTTTCACCTCCCTCAGCGATTCCCCTTCGTAAACCAAGCCTTTTATGAACATTGCCCCTCTGAGACATCCCAACGGGCTTGGCTACTCGTGGCAGGGGTAATAAACGCATGTCAGTATTGCCACATTCAGTGGTTAACGTCTTTGATAGAAATGTCTTGTAATTCTTTGGGGCTAGAGTGAGGTACTGCTGCGGCACATGCATACATTCCACTTTCTCTTCTGGACCAACAGAGCCTGTTTGGGGTTCTTCTCCCTGTAAGCGTTACGAGAGCGCTTTACCGCGTTGAGGAGCGATCTTCAGCAGGAAAAAGTAAAGGCCGAAAATAGTTCAGTGCGCTGTGCCAAAGTCAGGCGGCAGATGTAACGCTCTCTGCCCTCGTTCTGGCCCTTGCGTTCTTCTCCGCATAACGCTCAATCAGCTAATTCTGCCCTTTGGGTATTTTCGTCCCATGAGGAGCACTGATCATCGGCGTCAAGCCACCGGGCTGAGACTTCCGGCAATTGGGTCCAATTAAAACCGTGGTCTAAGCCCTCCCTACCGGGCTATCGGCAATAAGACATTGATTCATCGTGGTGAGACTCTGGGGGCTAGACTTGCCCTTTTGCCGATCGCTGCATGATCGAGTAACGGCAGCTAAGACAATTGAGCCAGGAACACAACACGCGTGGTTGTTGTGGCTGTCTCGGTCTAGGACATTGCTTGTGCGGGTCATGAAAAAGAAGTAATTATGCCAAGTTTACAGCGGGTTAAACAGCCCCCCCGTTCATTGTGGCTGCATATTAGGCTGCGGCCCCGTTTTGGAGTTCAGCCAAGGACCGGGAGGGGAGAGCAAATGAGGGCGCTTGATGCGGGTGCTTGGAGTTGTCGTTGACGACGTGGCTACCAGGACACCCTTGTGCCTCAAACTAGCAATCCACTACACTCAACGTTTTATGCTGTGATTTCTCAAATATTTCAGCTTTGGAGAGTAATGCAGTGTATTGCTTTTGGACGTCGTGGATCAAATCACTGCAGTTTGCCGCGGGAGACACGGAACCGCGTCTGGACCCATGACGATGCGACGTCTTGGTCACGGAGCAAATGTCCGGACAGCCAAGGCAGTGTCACGATGTAATTTTGCTGTTTTGTTGTCAATGAATTGGATTCTATTGATCTCAATTCACTGTTCAGCTACCACTGCAACAGCTCTGTCCTATTCTTAGCTGAAATTGTACTTGATGCCCTGAATCCCCATAGTGCGGGCGCTAACCAAGATACCGGGGCCGTCCGTTGGCCTGAAAATTTACGAGCGGACTCTCGCCCTACAATTCTAAAATCCTTAGCGGGCATCGGCAGTTAGAGTCGTACTGCTATGCAAAAAGTATATTGAAACAATGCAACCATCCCTGTCAGAAATTTGAGTCCGTGACAAAGAGGAAAGAGAAACAAAAATATGATCTGAGCAGGGTAAACATGGGTCTCTCCCTCGTCCCGGCTAGGTACCGAGTGGATGATGAAGATCACAGACCAAGGGAGGATGAGTTGAGCCCCACCAACAGACACAGACCGGTGCAGTGATCGCCCCGAGTTCCGGTGCTCGAAAGTCTATGGACTGGTCTCAGCTGAGATGTGTGATGCGGAATATCGTCACGTAGCATTATGGCTTGGGAGTAATCTCGTACAGTCAGGGAGACAGGTCTTTGATCAGGGAAGTCAACCCTTTTGGTGCGAATCGTCAAGTATAAAGAGGCCATCATCCTCCCTCTTGGACTCAAAATCCTCATCAACACTCATCAGCATCTCCAACAGCATCCTCAACACTTTCACTCACTCCCAAAAACCAACTTCTTCCAACTCAAACTCCATTCAAAATGCAGTTCACCAAGATCGCCTCCGTCCTCGCCATGGCCGCCGCTGCCATCGCTGCTCCCGCTCCCGGCAACTACGAGGTCGAGCCTCGCACTGGCGGCAGCAACAACGGCAACAACCAGCCCGCCTGCTCTGCTCAGAGCTCCAATGTTTGCTGCAACGGCCTCGGCTGCCTCGTCCAGGTTCTTGGCGCCGGTTGCGCCACCACCTCCTACTGTTGCCAGTCTAACTCCCCTCTGGCTGTTGTAAGTAACCCCAGAAAAGGGAGAACAAGATTTGATACTAACTGTTTCCAGGGTGCTCTCATCAACATCAACGCCCTCAACTGTGTCAAGGTTCTCTAAGTGACACGCTCCGGCGACTTGGCCTACTCCTTGGAGTAGCCTGTTGGAATGTTGGATATTGGGGCACATATGGTGTGAGGATCTGATGGAGAAAGCCTATGCCAGCTACTCCACATGTTAATAGGCAGTGTTGATGTTTGTATTTACTTCGATGACCTTAATTTGAGGTTGAATATACATACAGGGGTTATACTTTGCTTTACGGAACCTGCTATTGACTGTGAATGGTGATGACAAGAACAACAAACTCAAACAGATCACATAAACTCCTCTCAGTCAAGGATTAGAGCTGATTAAATTAACACAAACATCATCGTTCTAGCAAGCCTCAATTCTGCTCATCATGCTCTCGTAAACTTGGACCCAATGAGTCAATGCCGTTGACGGATGCGGCGGAGTTCGAAACTCAATCACAGAATGTAACCCAGGGATCCCTGACAATCGGCCCATCCATAACCGTTGAAGAAACAACTTAAAATTAGCGTAACTACAGCTCTGACCTATAGCAGCAAGTGCACGTTTTGAAAACTGTTGAGGTCGTATCCATGCTCGAATAGATCGTTCCAGGCTGTGTCGATGCTTGGCGTAGGATACTCTTGACGAGGCGGTGGGTTCTGACTTTTTACTCCAAACCATGACATGAACTCTGTGTCAATCTCGCCTTCGGCATGTGACGTGTTGTCGAAAATTGCCAGCGTTGCATTACCCAATCTCCGTATGATCTGAGTACTCCTCTCACCAACCTTTTTGCCGTGTGATATTTTGGACAAGAGTCTTACGCAAGTTTCAATATTGGCCTCGACGACTTCTCTTGTGAGTTCGAGACGAACCACGGAACTTGCTCTGATGGAGTACAGCATCGTAACAGCAGCCATGAATAGTGAGTCCAGCGCCACAAACGTGTAGATTATCTTGTTCTTTGCGTATAGAGCGTTGTAGCAGCTAATTAGGCTTATGGATGAATCGGCACATAAGCGAATTGCGTCTGCGCTGCTGACCGGCGATGCATGAGATGGGCGATGGAGGTTGATGACGGCTTGGTGATAGGCGATTTGAAACCACTCTGGCGTTTGGTACATCGATAGTGGCGCAAGGTATCTCGGGGCGGATAAAAGCCACGCGTTTAGACGGGTATAATGCTGTTGGCGTATGGCGTCGAGGTTTCGGCTTTCGAGGTTTGTGCCGCCTGCTGAGTGGAGGGCCGAGTAGATTCCGGCGTTGATTTGACGCAGTTCGACGATATGACGAAATGCAGACATATCTCTGACGTCGGGCAGGATATTCGGTATGGCTTGTTCTGCAGGTCCGGCAATTTGCTCATCGGTGAGGACCAATGGCAGGGGTATCGTGATATCAGCGTCTTGGATACCCAATGGCCTGCCGAGAGAGATTGAGACACTTCGGTCCATGGTGTACAAGCTCCAGAATAACCGTTTTCGCATCTCGGCATCTAGCAGTGTCTTATTGGTCATGCTCTCCTCCCGATGCATGTCGATACCTACTGCAAGCCTCAACGCCATGCCAACGGTGTACCACAAATTGACCGACTGCGGCTCGTTGCTGCCGAACAGGCAGAGCAGGGAAAGACAGCGAATGCAGTCGAGGTCATCAGCTGAAAGCACCGCGTCAAGATCACGCACAGCTGCCTCGAAGAAGACCTCGTGAGATACTGGTGCGTCTGAGCTGATTCGTGCTTTTTCCGATGCTCCAATCGCGAGAACCATGTGTACTTCAAACGCGGACAGTCTGCTCCTGACTTGACCGTTGCAGTATGGTATGTAATGCTGTTCCATGAACGATGGGCGATGAAGGACCGGGTACTGCGGCCATCGACGATCGAAGAATACTTCAATCAGGCTGAGGCCGTCTCGGTGAAGCGAGAACGTGCTTGACGTGGCGGTCGGAGGCGTCTCACTGGCTGACAGCCCATGCCACAATTGCCAAGGACCAGTCATAAACCCCGTCTCGGAAGCGCCGTTAGGTCCCAATCCCCTAAAAGTTGGCAGAAGCATACGTCCAACATATCCCCTCTCCAAACTCCCAACCGAGCCATCGGGCTCTTGGCGATCGGCGACAGATCTTATCTGCAGATGACTCTCCTGAGACCGAGCCTCGGAGGGCAGTCTTGATTGCATGGCGAGTTGTGTCTGCAGCTCATTCACCCGGTCTTTCAGGCGCTCTACCTGGCCTCTCAGGTGGTCGCACTCGCATTCCCTGTCGACCTTGACAACGAGACGATCTGAGGGGACACAAGGCACATTTGCAGCAGCACAAGCCCCGCATACGGGATGTCTGCCGTCACACTTTTGGTCACAGCAAAAGTCAGTTCATTATGTCGTCGACGACCCGAGAACAATGTGGTAACACACGTACTTTTTGTTTTCTTCGGCGACATCTCTGGCACGCTGCCGATATCCTCTTGAGGCCACGACGCGGCGATCTTATCCGGTCAGTGTCCCTGTCTGAGTGCGTGTCGTAAGCTGAGGCCGATTCGAACACGGCGGGAAGTTCGCCGTCATCGGTGGCTGACATTTTTCGGGCTGAGTTCTTGGTGGTGATGATGTTATTAATGAGGGATGAATTTGTTAATGCGAAAGAGTCAGAAGTGACCCACTTTATCGATAAGGACAATCTATCTCCGGTTCAATGCCGGCATAGCCGATGCTCAAAAGATGGATCTCTCTGAGATTCGGCCGGATTCGGCCCTTATGCCCGGCCTTATCTCGCATGTCGTGATTGAAGCAGATAATGGTCTTGTTTTGTAGTGGGAACAACCGATATCCAGAGTTTTCTTGGTGTTTAGATAAGGCCCCTTTTATATCGTGGCTAGACCATGTCAAGTCGGTCAGAATTGAGGTTCTGATCTTGACGTCATTGCTGAGGCATCTCAACTTAGCGATATACTCATCGATGTTGGAAATAAGAATACCTGCTATCTAAGAAGACTCTGACTGGCAGTCTCTAGTAAATAATCTTTATGGAGAGAAGTTAGCATATTGGCTATTTCTCAGTTGACCGTCTCGCTATTGTTTCCCGCTTGAATGATCTAAGTAATTACCAAGATCTTGAACTGCCTAGATCTATTTCTGTTTGGATTTGATGACAAGTTCAGTGATAGAGTACATATTAAATGTCCCTTTCAGTGCACTATTACAGATTTTCTCAGGGTCAATTTGATCTATTACGAGGTAGTGAAGAACGAAAGTTCAACTTCTGACACTCCAGGGTACGTGGAAACTGGAGATGATGTCATTTCTCTAAATGGACCCAGGTAAATGAACCCACAAGCGCAAGAACGGAGCCAGCACGTGGAACAGACTCGCCGTTGCCTGACACCGATAAGGCTGAAGAGAACGTGAGCAAAAGACACGCAAGAGACTGAAGGGTCCCTCCGAGTGATGACCCCACCCACCCAAGCTTCTCGGTATCTTAGTCAATGTGCCCTTGTCACCATCTCAACACGGTCAAGCTCTTCAGTTAGGTAGCTACAGGACCCCCAGCCAGTAAAAACACAGCACTTCTACCCCGCAAACAGCACTATCAGTAGCCTAAACCGAGTCGTCGGGGGTGGCGCTTATCACCTACGGAACCCCATCGGAAGCCGGTGGGACGTCCTCTCAACGCCCTTATCTCTACGGAATGCCCCCCGTCCCCGTCACAAACATCCCCAAACCACTCCAAATCACAAATCACAATGCCTCGCCCAATAGTCCCAGCGCACCAGCGACAAAGAGCAGCAGAAGCCTGCAACTTGTGTCGCGAGACGAAAAAGAGATGCAGCGGCTCTGCGCCCTGTACGCAATGCGTTCGTCGCGGTCTTGAGTCGCAGTGCTTCATCACATATGCTCCGAGAGGGTCGAGAACAAGAGCTCGCGCTGAGGCTGCAAAGGCCGCGGCGGCGGGATCAGTGGCGACGGAGCAGATGAGTGCGAGTTCGCATCAGAGCAGTCAGCCGATGGAGACGGATGAGGGGTATAGACCGTTGTCGCCGTCGCATTCACAGCAGGACGATGAGAAGGACAGTCAGACTGAAGCGTCGAATCCACCGCGAATGCTGCTGAACTCGAGAGGCGAAAGAGGTATGCACACCTGTCACAATTGTCGATGAGATGCTGATTTGTTAGTTTATATTGGAGGCGCAGCATCAATTTCGTTTCTGCAGATTGTGCGAAATTTGGTATCGCAGCAAATTGGACCATCGGAATTTTCTCACAATGAGAAGAGCGACACCATGCTTGAGATTGAATCGCCGACAGCTACAACACATGATGAAACGAGCGCTATGAGACTAAGTCCAGATCAGAAACAGCAATATTTGAGGTCTTACTACGTAGTGGTATGTCTACATCAACATTTTTCGAGTGTATGCTGATGATAGCAGACCGAAGCATTAATCCACGTCTTTGACGCGTCGGAGCTCGAGACTCTCCTCAATCTAGACGACGACACGGGCTACTCTCCCTCTCCCAATCTCTCACCACTCAAACAAGCCTCAATCGACCTAGTAATCGCAATCGGCGCTCAATGCGAGTCCCTCTCCGCCGCGCGCACAATAGGCCAAGCATATTTCCGCCGCGCTCGCAGCCAAGCATTCGTCGGCTTCCTCGAAGATCCAGACCTAGACATGGTCCGAACATTCCTCCTCATGGCATTCTTCATGCTCGGCGAGTGTCGAAGAAACGCAGCGTTTATGTATCTCGGAGTCGCCGCAAAAGCCGCTCTCGCTCTGGGTCTGCATAGCAGAGAGTCTTATGCTGCGAAGCCAGGACCGGAGGATCAGGCAAAGTAAGTTTGAGCCTTTATAGTGATCGGATGTGGCTAATTGGTTAGGTTGCGGGTATGGATGAGCGTGTGTATCCTTGATAAGCTGGTCAATTCGCTTCTCGGCCGACCATCCGCTTCTGCCCAGATCCGATCGAATAGCAGTAGCAAATTGGATGACGTCGCGCAGAAGGGGGATAGCATTACCGAGCATTTGATGGCGTCCAACAGAGTTTCCACCATCATCAACGATATCACAGACACATTATACGATCAGAAGAAGGTCACGACTGCAATTGTTGAGCAGTTCTTACAAGACATTGAACGCTGGAAACGAGAACTTCCTGCTTCCGTCAAGATACCTTCGGCAGATCCCAGCCCGGGAACAGTAACACAACAACACGGAGCTATCGCCAAGGTTTATGTGTCGTGCTTGTACTATCTGGCTGTTATGCTTGTTTCAAGACCGTTCTTGGTCTCGGCACTTACATCCAAGGGTCTTGGAAAGGGTGCGCATACTCAATTGGCTGCAGCGTGTCTCGATGCCGCGATGTATCTGTCGCAAACATGTTCCGAAGCTCTCAACGCGGGGCTATTACAAGGAAACATGTGCATTATGAAGTAGGTCTACTAAATATAGCCAAAGATCTACATGCTGACCATTTACAGAGCTCTCGTCTTCGCATCAGGACTAGTACTCGGTCTAGAGATATTCGCCAAATACCCCGTTGAATCAGACATCACCAACGCTTTCGAAGGCGCCAAAGATGTTCTCAGACATCTAGCAACCCAAAGTCCACAAGCAGCACATTATCTCGATATTCTGACAAATCTATCTGGGGCTATTGACAAGCGACGATCAAATGAAGCATCTAGCGGAAGAAGTCGCTATGTCTCAAAGCTGTTTAGTCTGGATGCACCGCCTGAGACGGCAGGGTCACAGTCTGCTCAGCAGATGCTAGATACAATGTTTCCATTTACAGATGCTCAGCCTGGTCAGATGATGGATGATACAATGCAGGATTGGGTGTTTCAGCAGCCTGATGGTGGTGATTTTAGTTTGGACTGGGAGACGTTGAATGTGTCGTTATGGGATACGTATCCGTTTTTATCATGAGTTAGCTGTCTGTAGAACTGTATGAATTGATGAGCCTGTATGATCAAACTCCATCTTCAACATCGCCGTTTCTGATAACCGCCGTGACAACACCGACAGTCCGACACTGACACATCGCATCCAACCTCCGCTAATTATCGGTACAATTGATCAAGTGACTACCCCAGAAAATCCCCATCCACGATCCATCCGCAGATCCGCACTGACTTTACCGCAAACACGCCGCCGCTATCAGTGAAAATGGGTGCAGTGCATTACCCGACGCTAGCGGATATCACACCACTTCCGTGCTGTGGACTTCCGCTATCTCTAGATAACCTATCGTGTATACGGAACTTCCGAAAATTACAGCCGCAGGCGGTTCAAGTTGTTGATAGTGGTTGCAAGGCGGGTATGAACTCTCAATGGTTGGCGATCTGGGGTAGATAACGTTTGGACGAGAGGAAGCTAAATAGTGATGGTTGCTCGACTTCAAATCGAATCAATTCATCATCATCAACTCATTCACTACAATAACATCTCATCTCATCCTACAATAACTCGAGTCTCAACATCTCAACTTGACTCTTCATCTCACACCACATCCTCTTACATCTTCACATCTTCACTTTCACAATGATCAAGGACAACGCCCCCACCATGCCCAACTGGAAGCGCCTCAATGTTGGTGTCATCGGCGGTGGCATCGGTGGCATGTCAGTAGCCATTGCTCTCCGCCGCGCAGGCCACGACGTGACCATCTACGAGCGCTCAGATTTCGCCGGTGAAGTCGGCGCCTCAGTATCATGCGCCGCCAACGGAACTCGCTGGCTGCACGAGTGGGACGTCGACGTCGCCAAGGGTGACCCCGTCGTTCTCAAGAAGCTCATCAACCGCGACTGGAAGACCGGCGAGCCTGTTAGTGTTTACGATCTCGATGACTACGAGAAGCGATGGGGTTTCGTGTACAACATGTTTCACAGACAGTACATGCACGCTATGCTCAAGGATACTGCCATGGGCGAGGGAGAGGGTACCCCTGCTAAGCTACTGGTCAACCACAAGTGCTCCGCTATCGACTTCCCCACAGGCACTATCACTTTTGAAAATGGTGTCACTGCCAAGCATGATCTTATCATTGGTGCTGATGGTATTGGCTCTGCTGTGCGAAAGATCCTTGGTATCAACCCTGAGAAGAAGCCCTCTGACCAGAGCTGCCTTCACTGCAACGTCACAACCGAAGAGGCCGTCAAGGCTGGTCTCGTCGACTACTCACAAAACAGTGCTCTCGAGTACTGGGGCGGCCAAGAAGGAAAGTGGGACAAGATCGTCCTGTCTCCTTGCAACGGTGGCAAGCTTCTCTCCTACTACTGCTTCTTCCCCCGCGAGCAGGGTGACTATACTACACAGGCCTGGGGATCTGAGGATCTCCCCACCGAGGATCTCCTCAAGCCTTACCCCGAGCTCGACCGCCAAGTCTTTGGACATCTCGCCATTGGAAAGGAGATTCAGCCCTGGCGTCTGTGGGTTCACCAGCCCTACCCCTACATCGCCAAGGAGAACGTCTGCCTTCTCGGAGATGCTGGTCACCCCATGATGCCTCATCAGTCTCAGGGTGCATGCATGGCTATTGAGGATGCCGCTGCTCTTGGAATCTTGTTCAGCAAGCGATACTTTAACGGAGATGTCAAGCAGGCTCTGTCTGTCTACGACAAGGTCCGCCTTCCCCGAGCTACCCGCGTTCAAGCTGCTGCTGCCAAGGCTGCCTACAACATTAACGAGCGAATTGGTAAGCAAATTTATACCCTCTTAAAATGATTCATACTAACCTCCTCAGGTTTCTCTGTCAACAAGAACATCTCTACATACAAGGTTGAGAATGAGAAGGAGGTCCTCACCATTGAGGAGATGAACACATATGATATGTACAAGGATATCGAGGAGAAGTTGGCAAAGGTACAAGGCGAGAAGTACGCTGGTGGCTTCCTCAACGGTCTGCCTCTGGGTCTTGAGCTGCCTAATGGTGTCATTGTCGGTAACTAAATGGGAAAAGAGGAGTGAGGGTCATTTTATATCTTAGCTTTGTCATAGTCGGTTTTCAAAATGTTAAATTGGTTCATTAGCATGTTGTACTCCTTGCTTACACCTCATATCTCCACCTCTGCAGGCAGTCGAGGCTATACCTAGTTCATGCCAATACCCTGGACTATGAAGCTGTCAAGAGCCCCTGGTCGAACCTTGGACAATGTTAGTGGATGCCCCGGGCCACTGAAAGCCTTGCATCCAAGTGCCTCGACTCTTTCTGTATCCGGCAAGATCCAGGAGTTTGTAACGGCTGGGATCTGCAAGTCTATCTCAAGTGTGGCACTGACAGAAGCGGGATAGTCTAGACTATGACTGGCTGTCTGATGTCAGGTACCCGTTCACTAGTTTGCATATATGTTCCGCAGGAATATGCGCCGTGCCAAGTGACAGCCTGATCCCTCGGGCCATTATCCAACCATTTCATCGTGACGCCCTCTCGGATTGTTACACATTACATAAATGGTACTGAAAGTATTGTCGATCTTACTAGCCTCATAAACAATGATATCGTGATCGGAACAATTCAACAGGCCAAGCAAGAAGTGAATCTCCTCCTTCGTTGAATATGAGGCTCAACTGGATCTCGTTTTATTTGAATTGGTACAATATCAATAAAATGGTAGCAACTTGTTTGATACGGACAAAGCCTCGCATTACTTCATCTGTCCCCAAAAGAGACTCCAGAGTCTGGGCATACTCACGCAACAGTAAACTCCTCTTCTCGCCAAACTCAGCGAGGTTCCTTTAGTACACCAGGATCAAGGAGGGTTTCTTGTCAGATCAATTACATGCTTTATTAATTTTAGGTGCTCAAGATGTCCTGATCTATTGTTTCCGATAGCGACACTCAGACTCCGACACGAGACATTTTGCTTCAGCAGCTCACCAGGCATCACATCACTGAAATATTCGTACCAACTGTACATCATGATTGAAAATTATTGCATTCTATTATGAGCCTATTTCTTGTATGCCGCAGCAGCTCCAGTGTCCTGTCAATCATTAGCATCAAATGTCTCATCCGTAGCGTTGAAGTCCTCACCAAATACACCTGGTAAAACTTGAGCCGATACTTCCCGTCAGCAGCCGTCTTCTCCAGCTCGGCCCTGCCAGCCCACTCAATCTCTGCCGAGCCGCCATTCTTGAGCTGCAAAGCCACTGAACCATGGAGCATGACCTCGTCTGAACCAGCGCCAAACGGGTACACCTTGTTGAGAGTGTGCTTCCGCGACGCAACAGCCTCCCACATTCCTTGTCTCAAAGTAGTGATTTCTACACCGTCAATTGATGCCTATACTCATAACGGGAGACTTACCAGCGTGACCTGAAGCCTTCTTTGATGCGAGAACAAATGTCGCGTCCTTTGCAAACATGTCTACATACTTGTCGGTCTCCCCAGGAGTGTCGGAAACGGCATAAAACGCCTGGAGGAACTGGATAACGTGCGGTGGAACCGACTGGTCCGAGGGACTCTGCACAGAATACGACTGTTCCATTTTGACGTTTCGTTGAGTGATCTTGTGATGATTCTGAATTGCGTTTCGTTGTCTTCAAAGCTTGTGCGTAGCAGTTTATCTCAACAATGCGTCGCTCCGTGACCCTGCTTCCGACTTCCGATAGTGGACTTCGGATCTTCCTTAGTGAGCGCTCCCACTGTGATCAGCGAGTGACGATCTTACCCCGCAGACTGATCGGACCGCGGGCAAATGCCGTTCCTGTTAAGGTTTAGCATTGACGGTGCATTATCCGCTCGTCCAAACGGAATCAACGGAATTTACTGTACGTAGGCGGGTGCATTATCCGGAATGGGGTAATGCGGTACGCTACAGTGGTATTGTATCAGATTTATAGTTATCGAGTTGAATATATATGTCCATGTTCAGTTCCAGATAACAAAATATACTCATCATCCATTCACACTCTCACATCATCTATCTTCCCTTCACACAAATCACATTCATCATGCTCGGCAAGGTTGCTCTTGAGGAAGCTTTCGCTCTCCCCCGTCACAAGGAGCGAACACGATGGTGGGCAGGTCTCTTTGCCATCGACCCTGATAAGCACGCTGCCGAGATCAACGATATCACAGACCAGCGCATCAAGTACATGAACGAGCATGGTGTTGGCTACACAATCCTTTCATACACTGCACCTGGTGTGCAAGATGTCTGGGATCCCAAGGAGGCTCAGGCTCTAGCTGTTGAGGTTAACGATTATATCGCCGATGCTATCAAGGCTCACCCTGATCGTCTCGGTGCTTTTGCGTAAGTCATTCGTCACAGCTCCAAGAACTTCACTAACAGCTTCAGCACTCTCTCTATGCACGACCCCAAGGAAGCTGCTGAGGAGCTCCGAAGAGTTGTTACCAAGTATGGCTTCAAGGGTGCTCTTGTCAACGACACTCAACGAGCTGGTGCTGATGGAGATGACATGGTCTTCTACGACGGCCCTGAGTGGGATGTCTTCTGGTCAACAGTCACAGACTTGGACGTTCCCTTCTACCTCCACCCCCGCAACCCCACAGGCTCCATCCACGAGAAGCTCTGGGCCAAGCGCAGCTGGCTCATTGGTCCTCCCCTGAGCTTTGCCCAGGGTGTCAGTCTTCACGCCTTGGGTATGGTCACCAACGGTGTCTTTGACAGACATCCCAAGCTCCAGATTGTTCTCGGTCATCTCGGCGAGCATATTCCTTTCGATATGTGGCGAATCAACCATTGGTTCGAGGATATCAAGAAGCCTCTTGGTCTGTCTTGCAAGTTGACGATCCGAGAATACTTTGCCCGCAACTTGTGGATCACCACCAGTGGACACTTCTCTACATCAACACTGCAGTTCTGCCTGGGAGAGGTTGGAGCTGATCGCATTCTGTTCTCTATCGATTATCCTTTCGAGAACTTTTCAGATGCCTGCACGTGGTATGATGGTCTGGCTATTAATGATGTTGATAAGCGAAAGATTGGAAAGGATAACGCTAAGAAGTTGTTTAAGCTTCCTCAGTTCTACCAGAGCGAGGACTAAAAGGGAAATTGGAATGAATTACAATGAGTATATAAATGCAATAGAATAACACAATCAAGCGTTCAAAAAAACTGCTATTCCTCTGAGTGACTCAAAACTGTACCCTACCTTAGCCAGTATTCTCACCGAGACTGCTTTTGATTGACGCTATGATTTTATGAAGGCAAAGACTATTTAAAGTTTGCTATGAAGATAGTTAATGCTCGGCAGAAACAAGCGATGCCAGAAATCCAAGTCCTTACGACCTCTCGTCCTTACTCTCCATCATGTCATTCGGCAGCAGAGCTGTTGTGATGACACAACCCAGCATAACACCACCAGCAAGATACAGGACGCTGTTTATATCACCCTGTCCGTTCTCACCCGTGCGACCATACAGATGCTGCGCAATCAACGGGCTTACAATGCCAAACAGTCGACCCCAGAATCCTGCAATACCACAGGCTGTACCACGAATTGGTGCAGGGAAAGCCTCGGGAGTCCAACCGTAAAGAACAGCGTTGAACATGGACTGGAAGAAGTACTCCATAGTGAAGAGACCTTCATTCTTGGCACGCGTATCGACTGTTGAGAAGAGAATGATGGAGATGCCCATCAAAGCAGCTGAGAGCACCATTGTCCACTTGCGGCCAATAGCTGGGATGCGGTAGAGAGTTGCGCCGAGAAGTACTCCGACAATGCCAGGCGCATACGTGTAGATGTATGCAGCATAAGTCGATTTGAGACTTACGGATGCTGCACCGTTCTTTAGGGCAAGGATACTTGGCAAGTAGAAGCCTAATATGTTAGAAATGCTTTATCAAGTTCACGGTGAACTTACCTGCAACAGTGAATCCCCAGTAGTCCATAATATACGTCAACCATACAAGAACTGTAAGACGAGTCATCTTAGGACTAGAAAACAGCATCTTGTATCTTGACAGTTCAAGCTTGGCCTTTTGAGACCACGCCATGTTAAGCTGCTTTGTTCCCGCTCCCAGAGCAGGCGTTGCACTATTACCACTTCCAAGAGAGCTGTCATCTGCCTGGAGTGACTCAAATAGCTCAAGAGTAAGTCCGCACTGCTTCTTGTTCACCTTGGCCATATGCTGAAGTGTCTTGATTGCCTGGTCGTCACGACCGCGATAGATGAGATACTTGGGGGTCTCGCGGAAGTTGAAGATAAAGAAACGGAGTATAAAGACTGCCAGAGTGATACCGCCAATTGTGAAGAGAAGATATCGCCATCCCATGTTGTCGCCTCGGGAACAGCATCTTTCTCCGGCCTCAGCATTGTTGCATGATACTAGAGGATTGGGCTCGGAGAAGTTGGGAGAGCATGCGTAGACTGGGATGAAGCCGAAGGCAATGGCACTGCAGAGAACGACTCCAATAGGTTGGAAGACGGATAAACAGGCTAAGAGGAAGCGTTTGTTCTGCCAGCATTAGTTGTGTTCCTTTGTTGAGCCTGATCAACATACCTGGGGAATGAACTCAAGAGTAATCGTGGTGTCGATGGGAATGTTTCCCCCAACGCCAAAGCCGACAAACGCTGTCAACACGAGAAAAGTGGTGTAATTATTAGATGCTCCAAGACAGAGTCCAAATATCGACGAAATGAGACACGTCAAGTTGAACGCCCAGCGACGACCTAACAATTGTCAGACAACATCTCAGCAAAAGGAAAGGAATCTCCAGGTAGAGGACCTGTTGCATCAAGCGATCCAAGAGCATCATACCAATAATATCCGCCAAAAATCCCCAGACAAACGCCCCCGCCGTAAGCCCAGCATTAAAGCTCGTCGAGATATTCCCCGACTCATCACGTCCAAAGCCCAGCTCCTGCTGCAGCGGTCCAAGCACGAGACCAAAAGCCTGCGCCCAGAGGAGATCGAGCAGATAGCCGAAGCCGCAGAGGCCCCAGATGTACCACTGGTATTTGCCCATGCCTTGGGCGTCGATCTCGCGGTTGATGAGGACGCATTTCTTCTCGTAGAGGGTTAGGCCGTCGAGGTCGTGGAGGAGGGGGTTGCGCGAGTTGTAGCCCTGTGCGGTTTCGACCTGTGATGCGGGGAGGGTGTCGCCGTCTACTTTGGACATTTCTTCTGAGGAGGGCATGCTGGAGGTTATCGTGGTGTATTTGCGTAACGCCGCGTTTCCGTTGCCGACAGTGGGATGGAATGCGAAGGGGAACAGTAAGGGAATATCGCCATCGCTATCTATCTACTGTTTGAGGGATCTGCAATCTTGTGTCACACAAGTGCAACTTTAATCAAGCCATCATTGGCCTGCACTATCAAGATCGTTGATGTCATTTTGTACTGGTGAGGTGATGTCCTGAAGGTTTTGATTGGCCCGGAGCATCTCCTAAGCCATGCAGTCATCATAAACCCGGCTATATCCTTTGTTTCTCTCGCGTTGGGCCAAAGGGATCAATTTAGGCTATCACGGGGCGAAAGGTACGAAAGCTAATCTGGTAATCGGTGAGTTGTTTCCGGTTTAGATCCGTTTCCAAGACGTAAATGTGACGAATCACAAGTTTGTCGGTCAAGGACTCAAGGGTAGGTGATGATGTTATTTACCTTACTGGGTTTTAGTAGAGAGACGGGTGTCCATATTCAAGCTCCATCAGTGCGATTGCAATATATTGCGTTGGAATTATGCACAATGCTATTGCATTTTTATTTTTAAAGGAATGCTGAGGTTTATGCCTGATATGCTTAGTGGATAACTTGTATATGTCAGTAATCTGAGATTGTATTGCTAATTGAGCAATTGACAAAGCAGGCCAGATTAGTGATTCGATGCTTGTCTTTAAATCCGCATTTTATAACTCTTGTTAAAAACGCGGCAATAAACATTACTCAAGATAATATCAGGCAAGGTTTTAGATAGAGTGCGCAACTGTTATTGCAGCTTAATCTGCCAGCTAGTTCAATTCTTTACATGTATGGGAATTTTGCTTCAGGCTTCAGGACATGGAAAATTCTAACCATGTATTAAAAATAGTTCAGGGTATAGAGGCATTTGGGTCTTGCTGAGATGGAACGTAGGATGGCATGCAAGTGGGTTCCCTGGGTTACCATATGCATTCTGAGCTTGCAATGGCATACGAGACACATGCGTGAGTAGTAAATTGAGACGCCTTGGGTTACCTTTCTCATTTTTCAGTGCATTTCAAATCCATGAAGCAGTAGATATCCTCACGATGATTTTCACGCAGCCAGTATCGCGCTCTGATCAACGCGTCGCGCACGCGACACGACTCGGCATGGACATCGGATTTCATTAGTCACCGAGATCGATCTTCCCCACCAGATCGAGGAATCTGTGTCTCCAGAGATTAGCGTGGAGACAAGATCTATACTAACCCTACTCTAAGCTCAAATCGGTGAAACCTTTCACGCGAGGCTGTCAATGGCCCACCTGAGTCATTGACGTCAGCAGCAAAGTCAAGCCCGTCATGACTTTAATTGTATCATGCATATATCAATTTGTCCTTGCAAGATACTCTTGGTCTGTTCAAGGCTTGAGATAATTTTGTTAATGATTGATCTTGGTATCTATGTCTCAGGAACCGTTTAATACTGATATTGAGCACGACGGCGCAGGACTAATGGCTCAGAACGGAGATAAGGGTGGAGATGGGCGGAAGAAGGTGCTTGTTGTAGGTGCCGGTGCAGCTGGGTAAGATGAGTCCTTCAGAACTTCTGGACGATACTGACAAAAACAGCATGTCTACGGCTTATCATCTTTCGGAACACCCAGATAAATTCGACGTGACTCTAATTGATGCCGTTGACTACTGTGGCGGTCAAGCATTCTCCATTCCCATTGACAAAGAACGACATGGAGCTTCCTGGTGCAACCAGGGCGTTCAAGGAGGATCTTACATCTTTCATCATACCGTCACCATGTTCTCCAGACAGGGCTATCACGCGGACCCTTGCAACCTTCACGTTTCGTTCGGCAAGGACGAGACGTTTTGGAATAACGTATTTCCAACTCAGCTTCTGGTCCGCCATGAGAAGGAAGTTCGTCGCTTGACGACTGTTCTCAAATTCATGCGCTGGTTTGAGATTTTCTTCGCCTTGCTCCCGTTGAAGCTTGTCTTTAAGTTGTTTTTATTCTCTGAGGAATTCACCAACACTATCGCTCTGCCTATGACGGCGTTGTTTCTTGGCACTGGCAATGCTACGCCTGAAGTTCCTGCGATTATGTTTGAGAGATTGTGTACTTCACCGACTTATGGAATGTGGTATCCATCCGATAGAAACACAGTCATCAGCAACAAACCGCCCATGATTGTGTTCCCCAAATTCTCAGAGTTCTACGAAACCTGGAGGAAGGATCTTGTCTCTCGCGGAGTCACCGTCCGACTCTCAACAGAGTTGACCGAAATCGTCCAGCGAAACAAGAAGGGTGTCGTTGTGAAGCTCAAACCGAGAACTCCGATGCCAGATCACCATAATCCCAACGGTGGAGATCCCGATGCTCCCGTAGGCGAGGAAAAGTACGACGAAATTGTGCTCTGCTGTCTCGCCGACACGGCCAAGAAAGTCCTCGGCAAAACAGCCACCTGGAAAGAGAAGAAGGTCTTGGGTTCAGCAAAGTTCAGCGATGACATTACGATCACTCACAATGATTCCGATTACATGAAGAAGCATTACGAGAACTTTTATCGTGATGATTTGGCTGTTGCGAACATCAACGGAACTGACCAATCGGATCGTCTGGCGTTTGCAAAGACGGAATATCGACCCATGTACTACATCAAGATGTATCCCGAGGATAAGTCCAAGCTGGAAATGTGCTTCGATTGCACGAATTACCAGAGTCAATTCCCTGAAAAGGTTCCTTTTGAGCAACATGTCTTCCAGACGATTTATCTCAACAAGGACCGGGACAGTCAGCTCTGGACTGATAATGAGATTGCCGAGGATAAGATCATTCGCAAGGACTGGTGGCATCAGCTCTGCCATGGCTACACTCACTACTTATTCGTTATCCCGTGGATGATG